CAGCACCCCAATACCAAAGGACCACACGATCTCACAGTCCAATTCCCATAGCCATTCCCATTCATCCAGCTAATTCGTCAGCAACCACAACATCAACAACCACAACAATCACATCAACCAATCCCATTCATCAAACGAATTAGTCAGCAACCCCAATCCCAACAACCACAGCAACCAAAGCAACCACAACAACCAATTCCAAAACAACCAATTCAACAACAACCAATCCCACAACAACCAATCCCATTTATCCAACGAATTCGTCAGCAACCCCAACCACAACAACCACAGCAATCACAACAACCAATCCCATTCATTGAACGAATTCGTCAACAACTCCAACCACAACAAACCCATTCACAACCAACACAACAACCCCAAACCCAAAATGCTCCAATAAAGCCAAATGAAATTGATTTATCTTTGGTCAATTCAAATGGAAGATTAAGTTTAGATCCAACTCCATTGAATGAAACAGAAAAGGCATATATACGTTTAAATGAACGTATCGAAATTTATCAACTAATGCCAAAAAAGGAAATCCCAGGTGATGGTAATTGCCAAATGCATGCGCTATCAGACCAGATATTTGGTGACTTGGAGCATAGTGTAATAATAAGAAATAACATTGTCGATTGGCTTAGACAAAATAAAGGTTTTTACCTTCCAAATGGAGAAACCCTCTCAGACTTTGTAACTACAAACAGTTGGGAGGAATATTGTGATAAAATGTCCAAAAATGGCACATGGGGCGATCATTTAACATTGGTCGCTGCAGCTGAATTTTATAAGATAAATATTTCTATAATATCTTCAGTTGAATCCGAGAGTAGTTCTTTCATAGAAATTACTCCAAGTATTAAATGCGAGAATGGAATTTTGTTATCACATTTTGCAGAATTCCATTACGGTTCTTTATGCTTATTAGCTAATTAAACCATTATATCGGTAAGTTATTTTATTTTCCCACTATTTTTTTTTATAAACTATTTTATATTAATTCATTTAATTTAATACATTATATTTTAGCAATTTTTTAAGCCATAATCAAGTAATATACAAAGAATCTAAGCCGTCTCTAGCCATGTTGTACTAGTAGTATCATTTATAGTAAAAATCTTATTTTATTGAATAATAAAGTGCTGAAGATTATAAAGTTGCTATTCATTTTGATAGCGATTGGAACCCCCAAATGTATTTTTAACTCAAGATTGTCGTAAATTTCTACCAACCAAGTAATCAATGAAGCTCATCCAACCAGTCAAGTAACTAATAATAGACCTCATCTATCTACTCAACCATTTTATTACTATCATTAATTGCTCTGGCCAAGCAACTATGACCATAGAAATCAAATAGTTTTAGGAGAAGAGAAACCGAAGCTTCGGTGTAACTATTAATCAAACTAGGGGAACAGTCACAATGGTGTTATTTAATCAAATATATTTAAAAATTAGTATCTGAAAGAGGTAGTTTCATAAATGTAGTCTCATTTCTGCATGAATGTAAATTTATAATTAGACTTATAAATTAATAGAAATTTTCAAATAGAGATTCTCCGGTCGTTGAACACTTTCAAGTGTAACTCCGCCATTATAACCAATTAGTACTTCAACTAGTAAAGAAGATCCAAACTCAATTAGACCAATCAATATTTTAAAAAAACAAATTAATTAAAAATAAAATAAAAATTTTCTAAATAAATAATAAATAATTCTGGAAATTAAATAAATATCTTTATTTAATTATTTGTTTGTAAATCGTATAAATTTTTTTTTTAAAAAATCAAACTTATATTATTAGTGTAATTGTTTGGATGTGTATTGAATTCATATGTTTATCGAATCTCAAGTATTGGCATTTTCATTAATGCTTTCAAAATTGTTATAAAAAAATATTTTTTAGAAATTTTTGTTTTATTTTTTTTTTTATTTTTAATTTTTAATGTTAATAATTTTAAAATAAAAAGAAAGTTTTGTTTGGTATAAAAATGAATCTTTTAAATGATAGGATATGGACACTCTATGCTTCCATTTGTTTAGGAAATTAATTTTTATTCTATTTTTTTAAATTTATTTTGATTTTTAATTTTGAATTGGTGGATGCAATTTTAATTTATAAAAAAATTAAAATTTTTTAATTTTATAAATTTTTTTTTTTAATTCATACCCTATTTACACACCTTATCTTTTCTAAATATAATATTTATAATAACAATAATATAATTTAATATAATATATAATATTTTTTTTTATATATACACACTTTTTATTTTTTATTTTTTTATTTTTTATTTTTTTATTTTTTTATTTTTTATTTTTATATTATATTTATTAAGAGTGTGGATATATATATTTTTATGAAATAACAATAATAATAATATAACTTATAATAGAGTAAAATATAATATAATATAATAAAAATGTCACAAAGAAAAAACAAAATTTCAAATGATGAAATTAAACCAACAGAAAGTAGTACAACTATAATTGGAGAAAAGAAAATTTGAATCTCCACCTCACGGATCTATTGTGCTAAGACTTTTAAGATTTATTGCGATTGTTCTTTGGGCAATTACTGCTACTGGTGAATAGTTAATTTAATTCTTATTTTATAAAAGAAAATAATATTAACTTCCGATGACAATGATGTCCCAACAAGACAATGTTCAACTAGTACTCCACCTGACCTCGAAAAGATAGAGGCTAAAAGTTGGTCATCAAGTAATCCAAAAGTTGGAAATACCGATAGATTATAATGTATGCAATTACTATTTCAAAGATTTTTTATTATTCCTCAATGTTTTAAAGTCTTAGTGCACCTTACCCTGCTATGTAAATGAACATATAGAAAGTATTCAATCAACTGGAATAATAGATTACTTTTTCAACAATCACCAAAGCAGCTCCATATTTCGAGAACATAAAAATCTGTTTTGCTTTTATAACTCATCTCAAAACATTAGATACTATTAATACTCAACAACAACAACAGCATAGTTCAGAAGAGAGAAACCAAAATATTATTATTATGATAGAATTTTCAATTTAGTATTCACTTTATTTAAATACTCTTTATATATTCGGAAGATATTGGGAAGCTTTTAGGTTTGAGAAGGAATATTTAGGTTTTTAGCTGCTTTAAACATATCTTTTAAATAATATCCCTATTTTTTTGATCAATTGTAAGATGGTATATTTAAAACCAAATATTAGTAGATATTCATGGGATAAGAGGACTATTTCAGTTATTAAAGATTATTATAAAATTACAATGTTAAAATTCAAATAATATTATCATATACGCTAATTATTGGTTCATTTTCAGCCGCTTCAAATGTTTCTGGTATTTTAGAAGATACAATTGCAATTACCGAATTACTTAAACAATATAATGCTCTTAGTTCTGGGACTGTGCATGTGCTGCACCAAATATACAAATTGATATGAATCGGTTAAATGACAGTAGTTTTAAAAAACAATGTTCTTTATAGACCAGGTTCAATCAGTACTCATGTAACATCAGATTCAACAACTTATTTAGGTAATTTTGAAGAGCGTGAAGAAGCTGGAAGTTGGAAGTTTTTACCACTTTATACATTTGTGGTCGTATCTGGAGAATGGAAGCATAGAAGCAAATTAACCAAAATGTTTGAACGTCGTTGGTTAAGCAGAACCAACTATAATCAATCTGGCAAATTATCATTCAATAGTAAAAGAAAACAATTAGATTTAGGTAATGTAATACCGATCAGGATAAAAAGGTCACTCAGTAAATAAAAATAGTTAACAATAAAAAAATAAAAAAATAAAACCACACACAATGAGGGTTGAACTTCATACATTTATTATATTATTATTATTATAAAATATGTAAATGGATATGACACATTGCAATGATATATAAAACAGGATATATATTTCATTTTTTTTTTTTTTAAATTAAATTTTTTTTTTAATTATTTTTTTTATTAAATTTTTTACTTAAAATAATGATTTAAAAAATAGTAAATTTAATTTTAATCTCTAAACTCAAAAAAAGAAAAGTATAACCAATTAATTAATTAAAATAATGAAAGATCTTCAAACCTAAAAAGTATATACTAAATTAGAAAACTTTCTTATTTACTCAATGATCTATCATTATTTAAATAATTAACATAGAAATTTCAAAAACAACTCAAATTAAAAAGGCATTAATAAATATTAATTTAATATTGTGTTTTTATAATTAATTTTTATTTTTTTATAATTTTTTTATAATTTTTTTTATTTGTTTTTAAATTTAAAAAATTAAAAAAAAAAAAATTCTTTAAAATTAAAATTAAAATTAAAATTTTTTTTTTTTATAATTTCACACACACTATATTTCTTTGTATATAAAAAAAAAAATTTTAAATAATAGCAATTATATATCACATTCCATAAAATTCTTCATTTTTTTTATATTCACTCTTTAAATAAAAAAAATGTTAGATACATTATTATTTGCAATTTTTATTTGGTTATTAATATTTTTAAAATTTATTTTCCGTTCCACCCCACAAGAAACCCACAGCCACACCCACATCAACAGCCAAACCCACACCAACAACCACACAACTAATCAAGCCACATATTCAAACCCACAACAATCCCACATCGAAAACCACCAAATTAACCAAGCCACACCAATTGATCAATCCCCAACTGAAAAAAATATGAATAAAGGATCCCCATTCATTTATTCATCCTCCCTCAAAAGAACCCATTGTTGTTCCCAATCAGAAAACTTTTTCCCATCAACAGAGGATATGTATGGTCGTTCCTCATTAGCTCAAGAGATGTTATCAAACTACCCTCTTGAAAGACTCAACCCCCCAAAGGAACCATCAAAACCACAAGATCCATTTCCATACATACCAATAGATCATTCCAAAGGCCTCAATCCAGACCTCCGTCTTTGTGATGTAAGAAGACCAATGCCTTGGGAAATAGAATGGGAAAAAGAACGTATGGAAAAAAAAATAAAGGAACAACAAGAAAAAGAACAAATGGAACAACTAGAAAAAGAGCGTATTGAAACTTTACAAAGAGAGAAACTAGAAAGAGAACGTATAGAGGCTCAAGAAAGAATAAGACTCGAAAGGGAACAAGAGGAAAGAGAACAAAAGGAAAGAGAACAAAAAGAAAAAGAAGAAAGAGAAAAAAAACAAAGAGAAGATAGAGAGCGTATCCAATATCTAACAAGAAGAAGATTAGAAAGAGCTCAACAACAAAGAGAAGAATGGATACGTAGAGAAAGAGAAAGAATAGAAAGAGAACAAAGAGAAAGGGAAGAACAAGAAAGACAACAATAATTATTTGAATATAAAAGAAACTAATATCTAATTTTAATAATTATTTAGTTTAATTTAACTCTTTCTTTTTCAGTTTCAATACGTTATTTCGAGCCATTAACCATACTTTGTGCGTTCCATATATTCTATTTAATCGAAGTTTAGTGTATATTATTTTTAATTGTGGTTTTCAATTCATTCATCAAACATTGGGATTTTTTCAGGTCACTCATCGTTCATTAGGGTTCAGCATATTCATTTTAATTGTGGTTTTCAATTCATTCATCTAACAATTGGGTTTCAGTATATACTTTTTAATCGGGGTTTTCGAGACATTCAATCATTGGGGGTTCAATTTATTATTTTTAATTGGGGTTTTCAATTCACTCATCATTCATTGGGGCTAAGCATATTCATTTTAATTGTGGTTTTCAAGTTATTAATCAAACATTGGGTTTTTTCAAATCGTTCATCATACATTGTGGTTTTGTTTATTCTCTTAATTATGGGTTTTCAAATCATTTATCAAATATTTCGGGTTTTCAAATCATTCATCATATATTGTGGTTTTTTTAAGTAATTCATCAAACGCTGTGGTTTTTTCAAATCGTTTATCATACATTTTGGTTTGGTTTATTCTCTTTAATTGTGGGTTTTCATATCATTTATCAAACATTGAGGGTTTTTTCAAGTCTCTCATCATTCATTGGGGTTTACTTTATTCTTTTTTTTTTCAGCCATTCATCATTCATTGGGGTATATGTACTTTAAAGGTAAAATTTATAAATAATATTATATTTATATAAATGAATACTAATATTTAATTTTAGTTCTTAATTTTTCAGTTTCAAAACATTATAATATAAATATAAATAATATTAATGATAATAATGATAATGAAAATAAAAAGATTATAATATAAATAATAATAATAATAATAATAATAATAATAAATAATAATATCAATAATCAATAACCTTGATTATAATGTAAATAATTCATCATTCATAGACATATATATATAATATAATTAGTATTTTAAAAACGATTCAATAAAAATCTATCTTTGATCAAAATAATAATTTAAATTTGATAATAAAAATATTTTATTATTTTTTGTAACTTTTTTCTTTATTTTTTTATTTTCCCCAAATGTAATGCTTAATCTTGAAAAATTATTTCTTTTCCTTTTCTTATCAGCAGGAGCTGTTGGTACTGCAAATTGGAAATCTTGGTTTAGTTATTAAACAAATATCTGATAATAAAACAAATAATATTGTTTGTAATTTTTATTTAAAGATTATAATAAAACATGTTTGACGAACTATCTACCGCTTTAGATAAAAGCAACATTATCTTTACTTTGAAGAATGATATGACTATATTGGAATGACATTTCTAACAATTTTTGATTTTTGTTGTAATTGTTGTTGTTGATTGATGTACCTGTTGTGATGACTGCGATTTTTGTAATGGTGATGGTTGATGTGGTTGCTGAGCGCTACCTGTTGACAATAAATTACCTCTACTGCTTATTTTTGTCATATAACTATTATTACTAACACTAATTTCACAGATATTATTATTACTAATTTTTAATTTTTCTATATCTATAAAAGAATTATTATTATTATTATTATTATTATTATTACCAGTATTATTATTTAAATTAGAAGATGATTGTTTTTTAATGGTTGTTCTGATGATTCTAATTGATCTTTAATTGATTCTAAAATATTTACAAAACTTTGGTCTATTTGTATTTTTATATGATCTTTAAACAGAAATCATAAAATTGCACTGGGCAATCATTTGGTGAAATTATATGTGAATTTAATTCTTCTATGTTGATATTGGAACCATTATTTACATTTCTAACCGAATAGTCTTTATTTTCTATTATTATTTTTTTTAATAATTTTTTTTAATAATAATAATTCTTTATTTTCTATTATTTTTTTTTTTAATAATTTTTTTTTTAAAATATATTAAAAAATTTAATTTTTTTAATTTTTTATTCAGCTTTTTTTTTAAAAAAATCTTAAAAAATTAATATTATTACTGTAAGAGATAGTATTTTACTTTTTGTGGTGGTATTAGTATTTGTTATGGCGGTTTTATTTTTAGAAGTTGGTGAAGCTAATATTGTGAAGATTTTGTTTAGTTAATCAAATCATTGCGGATATCACCACCTATTCTAGCAATATACGCCCTTGCAAAACCAGAAGAACGTAAATTATTTACAGTTAACATCAACGATCACTACAACAAAAACTATAACAACGATAAATCCAGAAATAAGATAGATATTATAGGGAGACTTTAATTGTCATGATATAAATGACCTTACACTTCCACAAACAAACATTTTATCATACGATCTTGGATAGAAAACTTAATCAACTCTAGATGATTTAATGACAGATATAAAATCCATTAAAATAAACCTCTTGAATTATAATAACCTAAATTTCAAAAATATTTCACCACCTGCAGCAGTTGTTTAATTTAGCAAGTAGTTTAGATTCAAATGAATAAATTAAAGTTGAAACTAAAGATGGATCAGTATCAAAAGAGAATAGAAAATCAATTTATTTAAAGATTTTAAATCTTGAAATTAATGACGAAAATAGAGCAGATATTTCAAACTTTAGCATATCAATATATGGAGGGTATTCCAACAATAGATATATTAAATGGTGAAAAAAAGACAAAAAGAGAATTATATTTAAAATCAATCGAGTTAAACAAAGACAATTCGCCATCCAACAATAACTTAGCAAATACAATGCATCCAAGCTAGACTGTACACGTAAATGGAAGAGATTGGAAGAAAAGAGAGTTATATTTAAAATCAATCGAGTTGGTTCCACACGATTCAAATGCCTATCACAATTTAGCAAACTCGCCTCAATCCTCCAATGAAGAGGTTACATTAAAGCAGGCCTACAACAATCTTTCCATCCTCTTAAAAGATATAAATGATCAAGTAGCAAAGCAGTATCAAAACTAGACCTATTAATCAAGCTTATTCAAATCAACCCAATTTACTAAATAATATCACGAAATCGTTTAAAATGAAATATTATAAAAAAAAAAAAATTTTAAAAAATATACTGTGTAAAATTAAAAAAAAAATAAAGATTTATTTATTTTTAAAGTTTAATTTATCATTGATTTCTTTTCTTTTAATTGAATTTTTGATTGAATTAAATATAAAACTAATTTCTTTTGAAAAATTGATGATTAAAGAATCACGATCATTGGGACCAAAATGACCAGATCCATCATCAATATTTAAAAATATTAATGGTTTGATATTATTATTATTGTTATTGTTATTGTTATAATTATTAAAATAATTTCTTAGTTTAGCAACCCATTTTAATGGTTGCCAAAATGGAACACGAAAATCGGATGATGAACCAGTAACGTAAAGATCTGGGAAGGATTTGAATTTTGATACATCAAAAGTATCAATTAAGAGGTATGGGTCATATTCTTTAATATATTCGAAAGCTTCTTTATCTTTATTAACGTTGCCCCATTCATCAAATTCGTGAATTGTTAACGGTAACTCTTCGTCCATCATTGCGGTTATAATATCTACAAATGGTACTCTTGATATGATTGCACTAAAGTAATGTGGATGTGTTAATGATACATTACACATTAATAAACCGCCTGCACTTGACCCTTTACCAATTAAATACTCTGGACTGGTATAACCATGTTCAAATAGATATTCGACACAATCTATATAATCTTTGAATGAGTTCTTTTTATTTAAAAGTTTACCATCTTTATACCATGCTCTGCCCAATTCACCCCCACCTCTAACATGAGCTTTAGCAACAATCATTCCGCCATTTAAAAAGAATATATCCTCTAAACTATGGGTTAATTCGTTAATATTACCATATGATCCATATCCATGAAGAATGCATGGGTTCCTAATAATTAAATAAAAATATTACTATTTAATATAAATAACAAATAATTAAAATTATAAAAATTTTGTTTACTTACTTTCCATCTAACTTCAAATCTTTGTGATATGCAATCGAAAGTGGTATTTTAATTGATGGATCTGATTTTGAAGGAACCCATAGAATTTTGGTAACATAATTACTAGGATTTAAAACCAATGGGCCTCTTTCTTTTGAACCTGGAAGGATTGTTATACTGCCATCCTGTAAGGATACTTTGGCTGGGGTGACATTTTCGACAGGGGTTGTATAGGTCAATGAAAATTCATCATCTGCATTATAATTAATATTTACACCTAATGAAATTTGAATAATTTCTTGTGGGAACTTTACAATTTTTTCGTTGGTAGGATCAAAATGACCAGTTTGATGATTCTTATTTATAATTCGAATTCTTGGTGTTAAGTAATTTTGTTCTAAAAGGACCAAATAATCTTGATACATGTCGACATCTCTTATAACACAACCATTTTCTGATGCTACCAATAACTCTAAATCATTTAATCCACCATTTTCAATTGTATCCCTAGCTGTATAAATATTTAAATCACCTTTATTTGCATTAGCAAATATTATAAATTGGTCCTATTAGATATAAATTAATTAATATAATAGTTTATGATAAAAATATAAAAATAGTGTTTTATTTACATTATTATGTTCTGCGTAGTATTCCAAACCCTCAACTCTTGATAACATAACTTTGTGTGACTCTGCTGTAATATTTTTTTCTTTTTCTAAATTTATATAATATACTAAGTTTGATGCCTTATTATTTGAACAATAGAAAAGAAATTGATTATCTTTTGATTTTACTATATCTAAAAAATTTGAGGGATTAGGTTCATCCATAATTAACAATGGAGGGTTATCAGCCTCATCATTTAAAAATGCGCTACCAAATATTAATTTTTTAAATAACTAAATAATTCATAAAGAAAAAATGTTAGTAAAAAAAAAGATATTTATATGAATATTTTTTTATGTATATTTACTTTATGTGGTCTATGGCTTTTTTCGTCAGGTTGTGTATAGTATAGATCATTTTCTTTACCCCATTCTATTGAGGTTACATTTTCGATGATATCTAATAGGGGTGAGTGGTATTCTGATAACTTCTTAACTACACAAATCTTTTTTTCACTACTATCAACCTCCATTACAAAGGCAAATAATCCATCATCTTCGGAGAACTTGAAAGATATAACATCCTTTAAAAGGATAGTATACCCACTACCAATACTATCCCCATCTATTAATAAACGTTGAGTTCTACCATCTGATATTCTTTGTCTATATAATGTTTTATTTTTAACAATGAATTTATGACCATTAATGATTTCCGAGTCAATTGGATGATCTACAAAAACTCTTTTATATATTGTTCTTATTTTTCTTGATAATTTTTTTAAGTGAATATTTTGGTAAGATTCTGCATAGTTGTTCTCTTGGTGGATGTATTCTTGCACATTTGGGTCATTAAAATTTTGAAGCCAATGGTATGGATCCTCTATAACTGTATTATGAATTTCAAATTGATATTCTTTTGGTTGTGCTAATGGAGGTGAAATATTCTTTAACTTTTTGCTTTCGTTATTTGGGATCTGGTCCAAATAATAATTAATATCTTCTTTATTTAAGATATATTCTCTATCAACTTTATCCCTATCGAACTTTCCAAACTTTTCAATTAAATCTTCTTTTAAATCGCTAATATAATCTTTTATTTCATTTGGGTTTATTGAATATTCTCTTTTATTTAATTCATATTTATTGGATATTTTATCATTAGTAATTAATTTATTAATTGAACGATTCTGATTTGTAAAGGTAGTAATATGTCGTAAATGATTATTATTATTATTATTATATAGTAAGCAATAATTTTTTATAAATTTTTTGCTATGCTTTATACTATTAATTATCATTTATTTAAATATCTTTGGATTATTGTAAATATTGCAAAAAAAAAAAATGAAAAAAAAATAAAAAATTTAATTTTTTGCATAAATAAAAAAAAAAAAAAATTTATGAAAACAATATTGTTTTAGATTCCAATTATCAATCTAATGGTATCATTAGGCTATTGTTTAAATGTGACAACGTAAATTTAAAACTATATGCTGTTCTCTTTTTGATAACATTATAATAATAATAATATAAACTATTAAGCTTTTATTATATATTTTCCAATATTTTTATTATTTTTAAAAATTTTAAAAAATAATTTTAAAAAAAATGAAATTTTTTTTTTTTTTTTTTTTTTTTATTATTGAATTTAAATATATTATTTATATTTATATTTATATTTATTTATTTGATTTTAATTTGTAAAAATATCTTTTGGAATGATAGATGTTAAGAAAATATTTAAATAATGAATATCAAAACAAGTATTTTTATAATTTTGTGATGTTAGTGTTTGTAAATTTAATAATTCGGTTAAGGTACCCTCTTGATTCTCGAATAAAACATATTGTGAATTTAAACCAGTAATCATTGTAGTATTAAAATCTTTAGAACCTAAGAATTTATATGAACCATTATTTGGGTTCATTAAATATAAGTATGATTTTTGATCTTCATTATTTGAACCGAATAAAACTATTTGATTATTGTAACCACTTGTGTAAATTGAATCGATAGAGTGTGGTAAATTAAGATTGGCGACTGAATAAAAGTTGGTACTGTAGTCTTCAAAGTTGGCGACAAGAATCGATTGTGATGATGATGAATCAAAAGTTGAAATATAATAAAGCTTAGAGTTGTAGTTGTAATATGGTGGGGTATTAAATTCGATTGCAGTTAAAAAGTCAATAGATTTTCTACATTATTATTTTAAAATGATAAATTATTAATGATAGGTTAATAGGTTTATTCATATATGAACTATTATTTCCTATATTTAAATTGCAAACTTACACGACATCTTTGAAAATATCATAAATAACAATATTACCATTTTTATCAGCAAAAATAAATGAACCAGCTTCGCCGATAGTATCATCATATGAGATTTCAGATTGTATATTACCCGCAACACCTAATTTCATTAAATTTGGTTGGATTTCAAGTGGGTGTATACCTTGACTTGTAACAATTGCAAGATTTAAAGCATTACTATTTAATTGTCTTGCAAAATCTAAATTTTATAGTATTGCGATTAGTAATTTATATTTATTTTAAAATTAATAATGAATACATACAAGCAGTTGAATTTAAAATCATTAATGGATAGTATTCGGCATTTAAATTATTTTTTAAAGCTTCACAAATTGTAACTATTAGTTGGATACCATTTGAAGCCCTATTATAAGATACACTACCATAAACTGATGCAATTGGTGCAACATTTATTTGATCAGTGTCAATACCACCTGGTGTTGATGGTGTAATAATAACACCAACACAGTAATTTATAATTGTTGAAAATAATAATAATAATGATAATACTAATTTCATTGCTTTATTTATTTGTCTATGTATTTTATTCCTTTTTCTTCAAATGAAATAATGATGGTTTTAAATAATAAAAAAAAAATAAAAAAATTTTGGTGTTTGGTTTTAATAACTTTTTTTTTTGAGAAAAAAATATCAAAAAAAATATCGCCGTATTTTAAAAAAATTTGGTATTGAAACGGAAAGAGAATCCGCGAGAAACGGTTTTTTTTTTAAATCCCAAACCTAAAAATATAGAAAAATAACATATTCTAAAATTTAAAAAAATAGGTGATAATTAGTTATTATTATTTTAAAACCCATATTTTTTTTTTAAAAAATTAAGTTATATTAATTAAAAAATTCCCATCAACTTTTCAAACAAAAAAATTCGAAAAAATTCGAAAAAAAAAAAAAAAACATTCGGATAATGCATTTGAGAAAAAAAAAAAAAAAGTCATAACCATTTTAAAAATAATAATTTAAAAAAAACTCACTTATATTTGAATTTTAGTGCCATTACTAAAAATATATATATAATTTTTGTTTTATGATATCACATGAATATATTTTTTATTGAAAAAATATTTTGTTTATGATGAAGTTCCAAATATTACATTAATTTTGAAAAAAAAAAAAGGAATTGGTCTTGAGGGTAGTGGAAAACCCTTAACCTCATAAAAGTACTATATAATACAAATTAGCTGAATTAAATTTCAAAATATTTAAACTAAATGTTATTTTATAAGATACAAAATTTTAAATGAAAAAATAAATACCAATTTATTTTATTTTTTTATTATTATTAGAATTACATTTATAATTTAAATTTGGTGCGAATTGTATTCATTTCAAAAATGAGGTCACCCAATATGGGGGATGGGTACTATTGTTATTAATTTTTTTAATTAAATTACTAATATTGTAAGCAAAATAATTCTTAATATGATAAATTATTTTTCTATTTATTTGCAATATTCAGAATCTCCCAATTTTATTTTTGGCTTTATTATATTTGATTATAAAAATTTATAAAAAATATTTAGATTGTAGCGCAAATACATATAAACCCCACACATTATATTTTTTAATTCAAAAAACACAGTCACACAAACAAACACACACTCACACAAAAAACACAATTATCAAATTTAGTTATAAAAAAAAAATGCAAATAAAAAAAATAATAAATAAAAATTAAAATTAAATATTAATTATTTAAACTCTAACAATTCAAATTTGTTTTTTTTAATAAATTATTTTCCTATATTATTTAAATTATTATTGTTATTTATATATTATTTCATTCTTTTATTTTTATTTTTTTTATTTTTTTTTTTTAATAAAAAGAACATTTATAATATACAAAATAATAACCATTGATAAATAATAAAAATAATAAAAATAATAAAAATTATATTTATTATTTATAATTTTAAATAATAAAATTAATTAAATACAAAAAAAAAATAAAAAATAATTTATCATTCACACACTCTCAAAAAACAAAAAAGAGATACTAAAAATAAACACACACAAAAACACACATATATAAAAACAAAACATAAACAAAGATAAAAAAATTAAAAATAAAATAAAAGTTCAATATTATTTATAATTTTATATTTATTATATAATATTTTTACATAATATATCAAAGTTTTTAAAAAAAATAATAGATAATTTTATTATCAAACAATAAAATTAAAAACCATTAATAATATTAATAAGAAAAAGAAAAAACAAAATCATAATTATTTGTTGTTATAATTTTTTATTTTATTTTATTTAATTTTTCAAACACTATTAATAAATATACATTAATTAATAAATTTACTTTATCATAATTATTATTAATAAAACTAAAAACAATTGATACATTCTCAAATTTTTAAAAGATATAGAAAATTAAAAAATGCAATACATTAAAAGTAAGTTTTTTCATTTTTATATTTTTTATTATTATTTAGTTTCTAATATTTTTATTTTTATTTTTATTTTTATTTTTATTTTTATTTTTATTTTTATTTTATTTTAGTGGTTATTTGTGGAGATGGTGCAATTGGGTAAGAGAAATAATATAGTTTTTTTATATATTTATTATAAAGATCTTTTATTAACATCTTTCTTTTTTTTATAACAAAGCAAAACATCACTACTAATTAGCTTTGCATCGGGAGGAGGGTTTCATAGGGATTACCAACCAACAGTATTTGATAATTTTAGTTCATTGTATATGTATCAAAATAAAGCATATAATTTAGGTTTATTCGATACTGCAGGTCAAGAAGGTAATCTATTATTTTAATAAATTTTGTGAATTAATAATTTACAGGACAATGAACGATGATAATATTGATACTAATTTTTTGTTAAATTAATTTAGATTTTGATCGATTAAGACCATTAGGATACAATGATACAGATATTTTTTTAATTTGCTATTCAGTCATAAATCCACCATCCTATTCAAATGTATACGACAAATGGTTCTCCGAAATTAAAATGTACACGACAGATGTTCCAATTGTATTAATAGGTACCCAAAACGATTTAAGGCAAGACAAAACAACTCGTGATTTATTGGCATCAAAACAACAAGCACCAATAACTTACGAAGAAGGTATGATGATGAGAAAAAAAATTGGAGCAAGTGCATTTACAGAATGTAGTGTTGTTACACAAAAAGGGGTTAAACAAGTATTCGAAGAAGCAATAAAAGTATTTTTAGAAAGACAAACAGAAATTCAAAAAGCAAAAGAAAAAAATAATTGTATAATATTATAAAAATAATAAATAAATAAAAAAAATAAAAAATAAAAAAATAAAAAAAATCAATAATCATGGATCAACTAAATATTTATATAAAACAAAATATTTAAAAATAAAGAAAATGTATATAAGTTTCGTCTTTTTTGAAATTAAAAATAAATTATTTATATTTATTTTTTTTTTAATTTTTTTTTTTTTTATTTAAATTTTAATTTTTTTTTTTTAATTTTTTTTAAATTCTCAGTCGATTAAATAATTAGGTGTGTTTGTCCATTATTTTGTTTTATTTTTCATATTTGCTACCAAGATTATTTATAAATACACAAAATGAAAAGATTTATTACAAATATTTCAAAATATAATTTATTAAATAATTCTAATAAGTTATTAAATTTAAATAGAAACTATTCAATAATTTCAAAGCCAGCAACTACAGCACCCCAACAATACAAATCTTTAAATCAAATTTTTAATATAAATAGTTATAACAACAATGAAATTTTAAAGAGCCATAATAGATTTTATTGTAAAGCACCAAGTAACAAAAGTGAAGAAATTACAGATGCAGAAATTGATATACATAAAGAAGACGACGACCCAAATGGCCAATTTAAACCATCCGAAGTTAATGGTATAAAAATTGAACCAAAATACTATATCGAGTTCACATGTACATATGTTAATCCATCTGGTGATGGTAGTGAATGTGGTTTTGTTTCAAGAAAAACTTTTTCAAAGCATTCTTATCATAAAGGTGTAGTTTTAATTAGATGCGATGGTTGTAAAAAAATTCGTAAGTATATTAATAATATAAATAGTTTTTTTTTTCAATTATTTTTATTAACTTTATAACAATATAATAAAGACACAATCGCAGATAATTTAGGATGGACTGGTTATGAAAATGCAAAAAATATTGAAGAAATTATGAAAGAAAAGGGTGAGGAAGTTAGAAAATATTTATTAAAAGGTGAAAAGATTTTCCCACACGATAGCGAACAAAATGTTGATACCGCATCATCTTCTGATGGTCCAATTTTAATTGGTGGTACCAGTGCCACTACTACCAGCGATAAAAAATAATTATAAATAAATAATTATAATAAATAATAACCAAAAGTTTTTTTTTTTTTTTTCTTTTAGAAAAACCTAAAGTATTCAACCTAATATATATAAACATGCTATATTATACATTGTTGTTTTACTTTTTTTATTTATTAAATATTTTTAAAATGGTAATTCGTTACCAGAATCTGCTTTTTGAAGTACTTTATTAACGATTGGGTGGTTAAGGATATTACCAATGATTGGTAATTTTCTTAAAATTGAAATAATAATTGGGAATGCGTCACTATTGTAAAGTAAGATAAATTATATTAGTAAATAATAATAATAATAGTTGATTTTGATATCTAAAGTTAATATATTACCCAAATAAATTAACAAAACCAAAGAGTTCAACAAGCATTCCGACAAATGTCCATCTAGTTGCTAATAATACAATAATACCTAAAAAGAATAAAATGGTACCTCTAATCTTTTTTCTTTGACCAAAGAAGTTTAATGTTTTATTAAAACCTAAAATTAAAAATATACCTGAAACAAGTAAAATCTAAAAGTTGAAAAAAAATGATAGATTAATATCTTTTATATTGTTGTTTGGTTTCTTTTAATGCTATTGATATTACGTTGCCTAAAGCTAATAAACCTCTATCTAAAAATAATAAAACCCCTAAAAATCCAAAGAATAAACCAATGGCTGAGAGCATTGCTCCAATTTCTGTAAAAAAAAAAAAGTTTAATATTTATAATTTTTCCATTAATAATGAAAATTATTTTTAACTCTGATATTTACTTTGTTGATCTGTGAACATTTTATCTATTTATATATATATATGTATGTATATGTTATTTATATTTTTATTTTTATTTGAATACAGTAAAGTTTAGATATTTATTTATTTGTATATTTATAAATAAAATTAATCGATTGCGCCTTGGATATTATTATGATCTAAATATATAAAATTATCAGCATTAATTTTTTAAAAAAAAATACAATAAATGAAAAAAAAAATTTTAAAAAAAATAAAATAAAAATTTAAAAAAAAATAAAAAATAATTATTTTTATTTTTTTTTAAATTTTCAAAATTATTAAAAACGAATGAGAGGTGTTAAAAATGAGTTCGCATAGTATGTTAATTGATTACTCAAAATGATAAATAAATAAACAAGGGAAAAAAAAATAAATAAAAAAAAAAATAAAAAAATTAAAATAAAAAATAAAAAGAAACTATAAAATTAAAAAAAAGAGATATTTGTTTTTTTTTTTAAATTAACACTTTAAAAAAATTTAAATACAATTTTATTTTATTTTTTTTTTCTTTGCACAAAAAAAAAAAATTAACTATGGAAAATGATATTATAATTATAATTTATAATTTATATGGTTATTATTATTATTATTATATACTGAGTTTTTTAATCATCTAAAGAAGGTTCACCCATATATCTTTGAGATTTTGGAGGGGATATTGGTCTGTTATTATTATTATTATTATTATTATTATTATTATTATTATTATTATTATTCTTTACAATATTATTACTATAATTTGATTGTAACTGATAGGGACTATTGTCAAGTGTATTGCTACTGTAACCTTTATTGGCACCATTGCTATAGTCAAAACCATTATTATTATTATTATTATTATTAAAATCGGAATTTTGATCCCAATTATTATTATTATTAAAACTATTATTTCTGCTTAAATTATTTAAATTATTATTACTATTATTTCTACTAAAACTGTCGGTACTGGAGTTGAAATTATTATTATTATTATTATTATTATTATTATTATTATTATTATTATTATTAATTTGATTTTTTTGATCTGATTTTTCATCAAGAATAGTTACATAATTCGATGGAAATAGACCAGATATACCATTTGATTCACCCAACCACCAATCATCTGATGGTTTATCAACTACAGTTACAATATCACCAACTCTTAGTGGTAAATCACGTGGTGTTTCTGGATCAAAATCGTATAAAACTTTAACTTTGGTTTGTTCGGTTCCTTCTTCCCAAGTTCTGTCGAGTCTAGAGTTTTGTCCTCTTCTTTTTAAATTTAATAATTGTCCAATTAACATTGGTACACCTATAAATGTGACTGCTATAATAAGTATTAATGTTCCAACTGATTGTGGCTTTCTTTCAAAATTTCTAAAATCCTAATAATTAAAATAAAATTGTTAATTAATATTTTTATATTATAAAAAAAAAAAAAGTTAAGAACCAGTGCTTACTTTAACATCCATGTTTGCAATAGTACCAGCTACAGTACTACCATCACCTCCTACAACTAAACTATTGTTACTATTTTTTACCTTTTTTCCTAATAAATATCTAAAAACCTTCATAAATCTTGATGCTACACTCTGAAACATTCTAAATAATGTAAATGTTTTTACTATAGATAAAATCTCATGATTAAAATGGCTCATACTTTGGCATAGTCTAAATTTATAAAAAAAAAAAATTAATAATTGATCACAATTATTTCGGTCTAACCTATTATTTATAATTACCTTATAATTGACGCAAAGGAACCGTGAACCGCATCAAAATTTGCATCCAATAATCTAGAAAATCTTGAAAAGGTATCGACAATTGAATGAAGTGCTTCCATCCAAGAATGACCATTTGAAACTACACTTTGTAATGCACCTCCTTTTCCATCCATTTCTCTACCGTAACCACCTCCGTAACCACCACCATAACTATTTCCATATCCGCCATAGCCACCACCATAACTTGATCCGTAACCACCACCATAGCTTGATCCGTAGCCACCACCATAACTTGATCCATAACCACTGCCATAGCTCGATCCATAACCACTGCCATAGCTACCTCCATAACCACCACTACCATAACTACTTCCATAACCACCACTTCCATAGAGGCTACTTGAACCGTATCCACTACTATATGAATCTCTTCCATAACCACTACTGCCATAACCACCCATGCTGCTTCTACCATATCCTCCGCTACCATAACCACCACTGCCATAACCACCCATGCTACTACTGCTATTATAATAATCATTGCCACTGCCACCTCCACCGGTTTCCCATGGTCTCATTGGTGTACGAGGTCTTGTAACTAATGGACCCCCAACATTTGTTGATGTTGATATATTATTATTAGTACTACTATTATTCTGTGTATTTGTGGTGCCTCCTGGTGATGGTACTCTTGTTGCTGTTTGGGGACCACTCATTGGTCTTGATGCTGCTCCTGTTGCTGTTGCTCCACCTGAATTAGTTTCCCATGGTTTTGGGGGACTTCTTCTCATTTTATTATATTTGTGCTACTATTTACAATCTTTATTACTATTTTATTGCTTTTTCTTATAAATTTATTATTTTATAATTATCTAATTATTTAATTTTCTTTGGGTGTTTTTGTAGTTTAATATATATAATTTTGAATGAAAAAAAATATAAAAAACAATATTTTCTATAGCCTTATTATTTTATTAGTTGTTAATTATTGGTTTTAAATTACACATACAAAAAAACATATTAATATATTATTTTTATTATTATTATTATTATTGTTATTATTAAAAATTTATTATTTGTGTATCTTCTATATTTTTGTTGATATGCAATAAAATAAATTTTAATATTTATAATTATTATACTATTGTTCTATTCTATTATATATCAAATTTAAATTTAATAATATATTAATATAAAAATTTTAAAAAAAAAAATAATAAAAAAACAAATAAAATTGTATTTAAAAAAAAATAAATAATTTTTTAAAAAAAATAATTTAAAAAAAAATTAAAAAAAAATAAAAAAAAAAAAAAAAAAATTTTAATTTTTAAAATTTAAATTATTTATTTTATTTTCTTTTGTGTGACAATAATAATTCCCAAATATCTTTTTTTGGTTTTCACAATCATATGAAAAAATAATAAAAAAAAAAGGAAACAATCAAAATCATAACCATTATTAAAATCATCATAAAATTTTATTATTATATTTTTATATCACCATGAAAAAATAAAAAAGTAAAAAAAAATTTCAATAATTTCAATTTTATAATTTTATTTTTTCAAAAATAATTGAATGGGTATGTATATATTATATTATTATACTATATTATATATTCAATATACATATATTTAACTACTGTTTATGCTTGCTAACACTTTTATTTTTTAAAATTATTTTCAAATAATTATTTCAAAAAAACATATTTTTTTTTTTTTTTATACACAAACAATAAATTTTTATAGTTTATTAGGGCACTCAATGTTTAAATTATACATTTATTGTGGCATAAATAAATAAATTTACATATATTTGGATGGAGAGAAAATCAAACAATTTGAAATTTTCACCAAAATAAAGCAAAAATTTCGAATTTTAAAAATATCAATTCACGGGTGGGAAATTTTTGTCGCAAACCAACCGTTTTTTTTTTTTATTTTTTATTTTTAAAATTAAAAAAAATTAAAAAGAAAATTAATACTAAATAATAACAAGTATCAACATGTATAAATCTCCATTCAATTGTTGTTGTAATTACATGGCGCAATAAAGTATTCCAAAAATTAGAAAGTTCGGTAAGTTATTCAATTTACAAAATAAATTCAAAAATCTTATTGAAGTTCAGTCTGTTTCAAAAAGAAAGAACCTTCAAAATGCATAGTTGCAAAAAAATCAAATAAAAAATATAAAAAAAATCAAAATAAAATAATTTTAGAAATATTTATTTTTTTTATATTACAATAATTTTAAAATAAAGGAAGGAATATTTTTTTATTATAATTATAATAAAATTTAATAAAGGAAGGAATATTTCTTTATTGTTGAATAAAATAATTTAATTTAATTTATTTATTTTTTCCTAAAGTATTTGTTTAGATTAAAAAAAAAAATGTTTATAAAGATAATAAAATATAAATTTTTTTTTTTTTTTTTTATATTATAATAATTTTATAAACAAAAAACATGGTTCTATTACTTCCATCAAAGAGTAAATATACCTATTTAAAATATTATAAAAATTAATTAAATTAATACTAATCTTTTATTTATTTTTAATTAAAAAAAAAAAAAAAAAAGGAAAGTTTTTTCATAGCTTAAAGGAAAAATTTGAAATAAATAATATTAATTCAAATGATAATGATATTGAAGATATCACCAATTGTATATTGGGTGGTAACGAAAATGACTCAGCGGTATTATACATTGTTTGGAATGATATTGGACTGATGCAAAGGGTTTCACTAAATTTACACAATGTTCATTCAATGAAGGTATCCATTGGTAATTTTTTAAAATCTCATGGCGGTGTGGATTATGGGGCAAACTCAATATTAAAATTTCAACATTTGAATTTACTAATCAATTGTCTTCAATTATTTTTTACAAATTCTGACTTCAAATGGTCAAGACGTCAAAACGATAAAGAAGATTGTTGTCAAGTATTTGTTATTAGTAAAGAATATGATCAGTATGAACCGATTATAACTAGACAACCATTTTTGTTTAATTTAACTTTAAATTTTAACGATCCATTATTCAGCATCACCTCCAATGCAACAAGCAGTAGCAGTTTTATAGTTGATTGTATAATTGGCCATAGTGGTAAAGATGAAAATATAAATTATGATGTTAAAAGCAATACAGAAACTGATATGGCTAAAAGTAAACAGTTTGCAAATAATCAACCAAAGCACGATTATCAACATCATACATCCTCAACAACTTCATTACCACCAGGTCAATAATAGGGTTGTTGAAATCAAGATTTCTTCTTTTAGTTATTTATATTCTATTTTTTTTTACCAAATAAATAAATTTAATTATTATAAAAAATAAATTAAAACAGGATATTTATTTATCCAAAAAGGTGGAGTTGTTCTCAGAAATATTTATTTTAAAAAAAAAAAATTTTTAAAAAAAATTTTTTTATTTTTTTTTTTATTTTTTTTTTTTTATTTTATATTTTTTTTAATTTTTAATTTATCTCTTTTCTTTTTAGTTTAATAACAAATAATAGTTTATAGTTTTTAAGAAAATATAGTTATAGATATATATAAATAGTAGATAATGATATGAAAAGTAGTGATATTTCTAAAAAAGATAAAAGAGATGATAGCATCTCTTTAACAAATAATAATAATAATAGTAATAGTCATAATAATAGCATTAGACCAACAAATAGAGTAGCATCGCAAAAAAGAAATATAAATAATTTAAGCGATGAAATTGAAGATATCGAAGAATGTGAAGAGGTTGTATTTAAATCGTCAATGATGAAGTCTTCAAGAAATTCATTTATGTCCCAATCTTCACCCAATTCTTTTACAATAAAAAATCAATACACACCACAAAGTATTAACAATACAAATGGGATTTCAAATAAAAAGATAAGACCAAGTCATTCTCAATCACCCACATCGATATTCAGCCATTCACAATCACCAAGCACCTCTTCTTCACCAAAATGTACATCACCAAATTCATCCTCAACAAGTATTACCTTTTCCCCAGCGTCACATAGCATAGCTTCAAAAATTATGGATAGTAACGACGAGGAGTCCGACAAATTTTATTGCATTTACGGAGAAAAGTGCACAGATAAATCAGAAAGTCATTTAATGGAGTATTCACATAAAAAGAAAAGATCATCTCTATCGGCTTCATCCTCATCACAATCACCCTCAAACATCACAACTGCTTCAGCATTATCATCATCAACTAAAATATATAATAGCATTGTAGGCAATCTATCAAATAAAAAACAATTAAATCACAGTAATAATAGTGATATAATAAATAATGCAATAATAATCAAAAAAAAAGAAAAAACTGAAGAGGAAAAAGAAAAAGAAAGAATTCTGCTAGAGGAAGAGGAGATATTGGGATTCAGTGGTTTTGAAAATTTAATTAAAGTGTCACCAACTGTTGTTGATATCGAGGCTAAATCAATAACGATATCAAGCCCAACCACAGTGCCAACATCAATCTCAACCACTACTACCACAACTTCAGCCTCTCCAGCAAGCTCAACAAAAAACATAACATCACCACCTACAGAAATCGACGATACCGTTGTAAAACTTTCAAAGCCATTTAAACCAAAGAAAACAAAAGAAAAACCAATTAAAGATGAAGATATTTTTGATGATATTGAAATTGATTTTAATGAAACCTTTACAAGTAGTGGTAGCACAAATAATTTAAAAAATTTTTATAATGGCACTAATAATAATAATAATAATTTACCAAGACAAAACTCATTTAAATCAGCCATAAATGGTAGAGTATCACCTAAAAACAATAATAATAATATCGATGATAAGAATAAAATGTTTATTGATAAACATATACCAATTAGTGAGGGGGAACTCGTTGTACATAAAACTAGAGTTGATAGGGTTAAAATTTGGTTCCAAGATAGATTAAAAGAATTAAATTCAAGTTATCCATTGGTAAATACTTTTTTAACATAAAATATATCAAAACTAAATAATAATCAATAAATATTAATTTAAAATTATTTTATTTTAAAAAAGAGTGAAAAGTTATTATTTTTAACAGGGCCAACAGGTGTTGGGAAATCAACATTGGTTAGGGTATTGTCAAAGACGATGGATTTTGAAATTGTCGAATGGATTAACCCACCAATAGTGGTTACAAAGAATTTTGATGATAATCTTTCAACACCATATTCATCAACAATTTCCGAATTTAAAAAGTGGGTAAAATATAATAGTCAAGGGTTTTCAATGTTTAGCACCAATATAAACAAAGTATTATTTATTGAAGATATACCCAACGTTACAAATGAAAATAGACTAGAATTTTTAAAAATTTTCGAAAATTTTTTAGAGAATTCATTATTTCCGATGGTTTTTGTATTATCAGACTCATTCACCGGTAATAGTGGTCTTTATCAGTTATTTCCAAACTCGTTCATTTCAAATAATAGAAACATATTTCATATACAATTCAATCCAGTTGCTCCAAGTTATCTTAGAAAGTTATTACAAAAAATTGCAGTTGAGGAGGGTTACGGTAATGCAGTTTCTCAGTCTCAATTGAATTCTTTTGTAGATGAAAGTGCCGGCGATATAAGAGCTGCTATCTTTTCTTTAGAATTTTTCTGTGTCGGTAGAAAGCACGAAAATCCTCAAACCTCAAAATTAAAAAAACCAAGAAAACAACAACCTACATCGAACCACACAACAGAGGATGAATCTAAAGTTAACGGTGTACTCCCAAGGAACCGTGATTCCATTTTGACATTATTTCATTCAATTGGTAAAATATTGTACAATAAAAGAATAGCCAATTCAAATCCATATGTTCAAGGGGAAACTTGGTATAAAGAAAAGTTTCATAGGGAGACACCAGAAAATGTGGTGGAGGAGGTATTTGAAAATAGTCATATTGACTACAATACTTTTATCAACTTTGTGCATGAAAATTATCCAACATTCTATTCATCAATCGACGAAGCCTCTCAATCACTAGAATATCTTTGCAACAGTGATATTTTCGACTCAAATAAGCATAATCAACATATTTCTCTTTCAAGCTATAACGATATGCTACCGAAAAGTTCAATTTCAGTTTCGCTAAGAGGTTTCACCTTTTCACATACCCAGAGTACACCACGACAGTTTTTTCATTTTATTAAACCAAGAATTAACGAGCCGACAAACCAATCACATCAATACCAACAATTATTTACCGATTGTATATCGACCAGAGTTCAACAATCAGGTTTAAATAATCTTAGTGGTTTCCAAGAAATACCCAGATCGATACTACAAAAATCACCATTGTTTTTGGAAGTTTTGCCAACAATGAACTCTATAAACAAATCATTAAAATATAATAATGGTAAAAATAGTAATACCTATCGGAATCAATTCCAACAACAACAAAGTATAACTACTCAAATTATGAAATTTGACCATAAACTTTTATTAGATTTCTGTACATTTAAAAACAACTACTCATTAAGTCAATATAATTTTTCAAAAGATAATCAAGTTGATCAGAAATTTGTTTCAATTGGTTTAAATGACGAACAAGATGAAAATAATTATGATAATCAACAAAATCAACAACACAACAACGACCAAAGTGATAATAATGATAATGATAATGATAATAATAATAATAATAATAATAATAAGATTGTATCTTTTTATGGTAATAACGAAGTGTTAAAATATGATGATATAGTAGACGATTAATAAAAAATAATCAGTATAGATTATATTAAATAAACTTTATATTTTTTTTTTTAAAATTTTTTTTATATTTTTTATTATAATTATTTAATTGTTTATTCCCATTCGGATGATTCTGAATCTGAATCACCATCTTGTTGATCATCATCATCTTCTTCTTCTTGTTGTTGTTTTTTGGCTTTGGTTTGTTTTTTTCCTTTTGTTGTGGCAATACTTTGTCTACGGAAAGCAAGAGCTTTAAATAGATCATCCATAACACCACCACCAGAAGGTTTTGGTGGTGGTGGTGGACCTGAATCATCATCTTCGTTCTTTTCTATTTTCTTTAATCTGTTTTTATGATTACGACGAATATCAGCTAAAAGATCCCCTCTTGCTGAACCATCGGTACCTTTATCATCATCATCATCGTCATCGTCGTTGTTATTTGATGATGCCATCATTGGTGGAGGTGGAGGTGGTGGAGCACCGCTTGGTGGAGGTGGTGGTGGTGGTGGAGGTGGTGGAGCACCAGTTGGAGGTGGAGGTGGTGGTACTGAGGAGGTAGTTGGTGGAGGTGGTGGTGGTGCTGATGCGTTATTTTGGGTTGGTGGTTGTTGGCCACCATCAGGGTTATTATTTACAGCTGCATTTTGAGCATTTGCTAAAGAGTCATATGTTGGTAAAAGATTTAAAACTACTTGTTGCGAAGGGGCGATTGATTGTTGGTCATTTCCAGCTGCCCATGTAATATTCTCTGCTACATTTGGAAGTGGTAAAGCAGATGGAAAGTTATATTCTGGAATTTCGAATGCACCTGGTTCATAATTGATTTTAACATTTTCAGCCTCAGGTCTAATATCACCTTTTTCAACACTGACTGGGGGAGCAGTTGGGAATCTAACATCCCCAAAGATTTGTACTTGATCTTCTCCACTGCCACCTGCAAGATTATCTAATGTATTCGAATATTTCTTGTATGGATTATCTTGGGTATTAAATAAAAGTAAATTTGAAACACTTGATAAATGCTGTGGTAATCTACCTAAACCTTCTTTAAATTCAACTTCTTTTGATGCAGCATCTATACTTTTTTCGATAAATACTAAATCATTTACATCCATATATGAATCTTCTGCTCTATTTTTAATCTGTTCGTCTTCATGAAGATGATAGTGTGATGGTTTAAATGGTAACTTGTTTTTACCGCTATATATTGGCACATAATCTGCCCATTTCTTTTCTGCTGGATATTTTGCACTACTAAATACTGTTATAGCTTGTTTACTACCAACAACCTGTTTAACTTTATGCTATATTAAATAATATTAATATTTATATTTCAAAAATATAAAAAAATAACATTAAAATAACTCATACTTGTGCATTGTTTAGTCTACTAGCAACATTATCAATTCTAGCTTTTTCGTGTGCTACCCTGGTTGAAATGGTTGTATACATTTCATTGAAAACTTTTTCAAGTTTTTCAAGTGAATCTACAATTTGAAGAATTGACTCTGTTTCTCTAAGCCCATTACTGACAACTGGAACTTGATAAATTTGAGTTGACATCTCAAATTATAAATTTATATATATTTAAATTTTATTAAATAAAGGAAAAAATAATATGGTTAAAAAAAACAAAAATTAAAAAAATTAAAAAAAAATTAAAAAAAATAAAAAAAAATTAAAATAAAAAAAAATAAAAAAAATAAAAATTTAAATTTTAAAAAAAAGAAAGGTTGATGGATATTTTTAAAAAACCACAAATTAAAACCTATTTTTATTATAAATCGAGGATAAATTTGGTACTATCTATGACATGATGATTTTAGTGAATTTTATTTTAATAATTTTTTGAACCTCTGCCTCTAAATGAAGAAGGTTTACCAGTTCTATGTTCAGATGTATAATGTACTTCAAGACCACCGCTTTGTTCTTGTTTTTCTTTTGATTTTTGATCGTGACCTCTTCTGCCAGGTGTGACATATGGGGAGTAACGAGTTGATTTTGGTTTTTGTTGATTTTGTTGTTGTTGCTGTTGTTGTTGTTGCTGATGATGCTTAATTTGGAAATTCTTTTGTTGATTTGGATTAAATTTAAATTGTTGGTTTTGTTGGTTATTGTTATATAATTGTTGTTGGAATTGTTTTTTTTTAAAAATGGTTGAGGAAATTGTAAGCTGTTCAATTTTAAGGTTTGTTGGTGGATTCTTTGATAGGTTTTGAATGATAGCAAGAATGTTATCTGTAGCAACTTGAGTTTTCTTTACAAATTTAAGTTGTGTTTTATCTTTTAGTTGATTGAGACTTGGCATTGCTTTTTTGGCTTTATTTGAAGTTTCTCTGCATTTTTCGTCTAAAAATCTAAATCTACTTAGAAGCTCTTCGAATTTAGCTGGATCTGTATTCATATCACTTGGTTGACCAGTAATGACTCTATAGCCACAAAGTTTAGCGAGTGAAGAAATTGATAATGATCCAAGATATGAGAGTGAGAATAATAAAGCTTCAATAATGGTGAGTGGTAAATCAACATCACCGACTGGAGTGGTGGTTTTTGATGGCACAGTAGATTTGAAAAGAATGAAAATTGGTTCTAAAAATTGTAATCCAATATCGTGTGGTAAATGTGGGCATGCTTGTGCAAATACTGAAAGTAATTCGGTTTTACTGGTCTCATCTAAATCACCAATGACAGAAAATACTTTTTTTGAGTATAGTTCAAATATTTTACAATTAATTTCTGAATGTGGTTTCTATGAATAATGAAAGTGTTGTTAATAACAGTAATATATATATATATTTGTAAATCTAATAATCATAATATATTTACCTTTGATTTATAAATAAGTGATTTGGTAAAATTAATAATTTTCTTTTTTGAAATTTCTAATGATTGGGACTCTAAAGTTGGCACAACTTGATCAATAGAGGCAATAGCGTCTTCAAGTTTATATTGTGGGAAGCAGTCTAAAAGATCAAAGAAGATATCGGTTTCTATGGCAGTGACACTTTTGGCAATGAGATTTATAATACGACCTCTGAAGAAAGTTTGGGTTTCTTGTGAACTTTTACTATATTCGGCTTTGATTAATGGAATGAGATTTTCTTTAATAAAATTTAAAAATACTGTAAAAGTTTGTAACTCTTGATCATCACCATTTTCTTTAGCTTCTAAAAATGATAAAAATGAATTTACTGTAGTTAATGAGTTTAATTTATAAAGTTCAACAACTGAATTTTTAGTGTGTTCTGTTTCGATTTTTGAATCTAAAAAAAAAAAAGAAAAATGATTTAAAAAATGATTGTTATTAATTATTTGTTGTAATTTGTTCGTGTGGTGTATATGGATTATCCAAAGCAATGTGTATATATAAACTTGCTGTTATATAATAGCTCCATAAATGTATTACCTGTACTAAGAACTTGACTTAAAATTTGACATAAAATATCGACTAATCTTCCAATATGATCATTATTATCTCTACAAATTGTTGGAATAACTTTTAATGCATTAATTCTAACTACATCTTCGTCTGATGATTCGAATAAATCAATTAAACAATCAATAGCTTTTTCTTGATAGGTTGGGAATCTTTTGAAATATTTTGAAATAAATTGTGGTGCTACTCTTTTTGTTTGTTTGGTTTTATTTGACAAATCGATAATTTCTGAATATAATTTATCGTCCTAAAATATTTTTAATATATTAATATAAATAATAAAAACAAAAACTTGTTTACAGCGGTTATTATAAAAACTATACTGTGTGTACATACATCTGGGAATGATGGATTTGAATCTAACTTATTTGCATAATCATAATATGTATTGATATATTGATCATTTCTAGCTGATGTATTAGAAGTGTCCATAGACTCTGACATTTTATAAAAGATATATAGGTGTTAAATTAAATTTAAATAAAAAAAATAAATAAAAAAAAAAAAAAATTATGAATTTAAAAAAATTTAAAAAAAAAAAAAAAATAAAAAATAATAAAAAAAAAATTTAAAAAAAATAATAAAAAAATAATTTTAAAAAAAAAAAAAAAAAAAAAATTATTAATAATATAACCATTATTATTATTTAGCATAATGTCGTCTATAAATAGTAGATTTATTTCAGAAAGTGAATTAGAGGAGCAACGAAAACTATATGGAGGCAAAACAAGAGAAGTAGACAATGACAATAGGACATTATATGAAAAATTACAAGATAACAAAAGAATAAAACAAGAAGCATATATCGAAAAACCCAAATTCAAGCCATCTCAAGGTCTAGACCAAGATGATATTCAATACTACCAAGAAAAAGATAGCATTGAAAAGGAAAAAAAGCAACAGGAGCTGGACGAACTCGAAAAAGAACTTGAAGAATTTAAAAAATCACAAGCATCAAATATTATGAACAATTTATCCTCAAAATTAACAAATACCACAGCCACCAACAATAGTAATAATGTTAATAACACATCACCAACTATTACACCTACAACAAATAATAATAATAATAATAATAATAATAATTCTGCAACAACCAAAAGAAAACTTGTAAATATTAAATTAAAACCAAAACAAACCAATCCGAATGAACAAGAAAAAAATGAAAATTTAAAAAATGACAAGAAAAAAGAAATGGAAAATGAAAGTGATGAAAATGTAAATAAAAAATTAAAAATCGAAAAAGAAACAGAAACAGAAGAAAAAGAAAAAGAAAAAACAGATATTAAATCCTCATCTCCTCAACCAAAGCCATCCTCTGCACCAGCACTTTTAATGGGAAATTATAGTGATGATGATGACGATGACGAATAACCAAAATAGGGAATAAAATAAAATTTTGTAAAAAAAAAACAATCAACTTCGTTTTATTTTTTTATTATTATGGTTTAATTTTTATTTTTTATTTTAATATTTTAAATACTTGAATTTTTATTTGAATTCATATAATCAAAAATATATATTATATTCAAAGCATTTTGTTTTTATAAAACCAAAAAAAAGAAATACATAGGACTTATATATTTATACCCCCCATGAATTTCAATGTATTTTTTTTTTTTAATTTTTTTTTTTAATTTTTTTTTTAAAAAAAAAAATTTTATTTTTTTTTTGATTTTTTTAAAATTTTTTTTAATTTTTTTTTTTTTTTTATCATTGTATATTTCAAAAAAAACTATTATTTTCATTATTTTATTTAATTTTTTTTATTAATAAAATTAAATAATAGAATCTATTTATATTAATTATATATCAGTTATAATTAAGGTTTAAAATAGAGGAGTCAAAATTAGGAAGTTAAGAAATTAATTAAAGATTTTGAAATAATAAATAATAATAATATATAAAAGATGGCAACTAAAGCACCAGTTTCAAGAAGTGATTTCAACGAAAAAGAAAAAGAAAAAGATGTTCGTACATCAAATATTGTCGCTGCTAGAGCTGTAGCTGACGCTATTAGAACATCTTTAGGTCCAAAGGGTATGGATAAAATGATTATCTCTCCAAATAAAGAAGTTTTAATCAGTAATGATGGTGCTACAATTTTACAAAATTTAGACCTTAAACATCCAGCTGCCAAAATGGTAATATTCAAATTATAATTAAAAAAATAAATATAATAGTAACAATAGAAAACAATCAATGCATTAGTTCCATAGAATTAATATTTATAATCAATTATCAAAATTTAAATTATATATTTTATATTAACGTTAAATTTAAATTTTTAATAGTTAGCAGAATTAGCAAAAGCTCAAGATATTGAAGCTGGTGATGGTACCACATCAGTTTGCGTTATTGCTGGTGCATTATTAGGAGCAGTATCACAATTAATGGCAAAAGGTATTCATCCATCAATTATTTCAGAATCATTCCATTTAGCATTAAATAAATCATTAGATGTTTTAACTTCAATGGCAGTTCCAGTTAGTTTAACTGATAGAACCAGTTTAGTAAAGAGTGCTACCACTTCATTAAATAGTAAAGTCGTTTCACAATACACCAACTTAGCATCAATTGCAGTCGATGCAGTATTAAATGTTATTAATCCAGCTACTGCAAACAATGTCAATTTAAAGGATATCAAATTAATTAAAAAACTTGGTGGCACTATTGAAGATACTGAATTAGTTCAAGGTTTAGTTTTCGATCAAACTGCTTCACACACTGCTGGTGGTCCAACCCGTATTCAAAATGCCAAGATTGGTTTAATTCAATTTTGTTTATCTGCTCCAAAGACCTATATGGATAATAATATTGTTGTAGGTGATTACGCTAAAATGGATAAAGTCATCAAAGAAGAACCAAAATTAATCCTCGAAATGTGCAGAAAGATTCAAAAGAGTGGTTGCAATGTTTTATTAGTCCAAAAATCAATTCTCCGTGATGCCGTTAATGAGCTCTCACTTCACTATTTAGCCAAATTAAAGATTTTAGTCATCAAAGATATCGAACGTGAAGATATTGAATTCATATGCACTACTGTTGGTTGCACCCCAATCGCCAACATTGACTCTTTCTCACCAGAAAAACTTGGTAAAGCTGATCTCGTCGAAGAAGTTGGCACTAGCGATGGTAAAATCGTTAAAATTACTGGTATTCCAAACCCAGGTAAAACCGTAACTGTCCTTTGCAGAGGTTCAAACAAATTAGTTTTAGATGAAGCTGAACGTTCACTCCATGACGCCCTTTGTGTTATCCGTTCACTTGTCAAAAAGAAATTCCTCATTGCTGGTGGTGGTGCTCCAGAAATTCAAGTATCTCAACAAGTTACCGCTTTCTCTAAAACTCTCACTGGTATGACTAGTTACTGTGTTCGTGCTTATGCTGAAGCTCTCGAAATTATTCCATACACTCTTGCCGAAAATGCTGGTCTCCATCCAATCTCAATCGTTACTGAACTCAGAAATAAACATGCTCAAGGTGAAATTAACTCTGGTATCAATGTAAGAAAAGGTGCCATCACTAATATCCTCCAAGAAAATGTAGTTCAACCACTTTTAGTCTCAACATCAGCTTTATCATTAGCCACCGAAACTGTTATTATGTTATTAAAGATTGATGATATTGCCACTGCCAGATAAACCGAAAAAAAAAAAATATAATCTAAAAAAAAAAAAAAAAAAAAAAAATAATAATAATAAAACTTATTTAAAAAAAAAAAATTTTAAAAAATAATAATAATACACAATAATTTTTTTAGTTTATTATGATCGTTATTTTGTAAACAAAAAATAAATAAATAAAATATTATGAAAATAAAAACATTTAAAAATCCCAATCAAAAAGTAAAATATTGAATTTTTTTTGCAGGGCAAAACTAGGGTTTATCGGATTTTTTTTTTTTATTGATATTTTTTTTTTTTTTATTCATATTAGGACAAACATTGCATCATGTATTGTTTGTTTTGCAAGACTGTGTGATGTTGAAAATTAATTTTTATTAAAAAATCAAAATATCTATTTATATTTTTTTTTTTTTGTGGTAAGTTTCAATGCTATTATTGCTCTTTTAAAAATCAAAAAACAATTGTACAAAATAAATTTTTGGGTATATAAAAAAAATTTCGTTTATATTTTTTTTTATATATTTTTTTTTTTTTAAAAACCAATTTTAAAACAAATAAACATTTATTTATTTGTTTTAATATTTTAAAAAAAATGATTAAATTAAAAAAATTATTTTTTATAATTTTTTTAATAAATTATTTTTGTTTAATAGATTCCAACGTTTATGTAAAAGATGTTACAATCAGAAAAAATGAATATTATAAATATTCAGATGACGGAAGTGATTGTGAACTTTTTTCATTTTTGTATTTAATAAGTGACTCTGGTGATTTTACATTTGAAAGTAATGAGGATTCTCTTAATCCCTATGTTAGTATTAATCCAGTATTGACGAATGATACAGCAAAAATATTTAAAATAGAAATTAGAGAGATACCCATTGCAGTTTATACCCATAATTTTATTGTCAGTGGTTCAAGTACATATTACTTTGATATTCATTATGAATGTGCCGGTATGTTTTTTACGTTTATAGAAATAAAAAAAAAGAATTTGTATTAAAATATTTAAATTTTTAAAAAAAAAATACTTAACAGTTTTTCCTATTGATGAGTTCGAAATTAAAGATATTTCAGTTCGTGGAATGGAGCTCGATATAAATGGAAGGGTATCAGCTGTCTTTAAGTATGATAATCTTAAAGCTGATTTTAATACTGAAATTGGTTGTTATTACTGTTACATTACAAAACTAAGTAAAAATTATTATCTATATATTTTAGATTTTAATTTTATTATCCCAGGCGATTTAAATAAAACACTCAGTATCACTTATAATGATATTATAAAGTCTGTTTCATTTAAATCCTACTATGACCCAACGGGTAAGTAATGATCATTATTATTATTTTTATTATTATTTTTATTATTTATTTTTTTTAAAAATAAATTATTTTTTTTTTTCAAAAACTTTTTTTTTTGATTATTTTCGATTAATAAAATATTTTATGCGCAATATTTTTTAGTTATTGATGAAATTACCGATGTGACATTTTATCCAAATCCAGGGAATATCCAAAAAATAGCCTATACTCTCCAGCCTCTATTTACATATTACTCAAATAATACCAAATATTATAAACCGATTCATACTTTGGCAGGATATGAAAATTACAGAATAAGATCAGGTTTTTTTGTCTCAAGACCAATTTCTAGTAAAGATGGAAAGGTTAAATACATTGGTTTAGTTGATACTTCAGTCGATACATTTACATTTTTATTTTTATCACAAAATCTAGAAAATTTATATCCTGTTTTCACACATAAATATATTGTTGGTGGTAAGATAAAAATATTTTATAGTTTAATATAATTATATACTAATATTTTAATTAAAAGACCCATTATTTCAACCATCACCAGTAAATTTTGACCATATTTTAGATTCACAATCAATTACAGTTCATTTCGAATTTAGTTCCAGCCAATACGACTTTTATCCATTCCAAGTAGAGTATTTTAATTCAGTACTTATGAAGTTCCCATTTGGCTATAAAAGTGGAAATCTATACAATTATAAATTCAATGTATCCTTATTTTTAGAAGAGTCTGGTATGTATATATATGTTTTTGATATATAATTTTTGTTAAATTTATTTTAATTTTTTTTTTTTTCAGATTTAGCAACAGACATAAAATTAAAGTATTTTAGATGGAATTATAACCCATTTGCATTTTTATCAGTTTCTTTTCATCTACGTAAGTAAAATAGATATAATATGGTATAAAAAAACAGACATTGATTTTTTTTTTATTATAAAAATAGCGGTTGATGAATTCTCTTATGAAAACGTTCAATATATTCATTTATATGATGATATTTTTATTTTAAGGATAGAAGGTCTATCAAAATCTAATCCCATTTATAAATGGACTAGAAGATTGCCAGATACTAAACAATACTTTTATTTAGATGGTTTGGTTAGTGGTAGTATTATGAATCCAACTTATGATTTCCACGTATCGATGTATGATACATATGATGAAATCGGTCCCAATGAAGGTGAAAGTAATTCTTTAATTATCAACCAATATTATGATATCAAAAATATTAAATATTTCGCTCACCCATCTTTTAACGACGAAGGTAATATTTTTTTAAATTTATAAAAATAATTTTTATAAGTTTGTTGTATTTATATTAATTTTTTTTATAGGATTTGATTATTTTGCTATAACATATGCAAAAATGTTATATTCAGAAATAGATGTAACAAATAAAACTGCAGGTAATATATTATATTTCAACATTTCAAATATTAATCAAAACACCCCAGTTTCGTTAGTTTTATATGACCCAATTAGACAGGGTTATGGTCTTCAAAATAAAGATTTTTGGCCAGCTACATGGAATTCATATTTAGAATTATTCCAAATAGAATTTTTCGTTAAAGCAAACTCTCACCCAGGAAAAATACCATATTCTCTTTTCTTTGATAAACAAAATAATGTACCAAGTTCATCATTACCCGATGATGCACTATTTACTATTATTTCTAAAAGTAATATTGTTTTTTAAAATATTATTATTATTGTTTATTTACTAATTAGTTTTAAAATATTAGATGAAGATTTATATGGACCAATAATTGACAATTTCAATAGGTTCCCAAATGAACTACAAGGTTTCTTTAATACCAACTTAATGTCAGATAAAGTGGCCACTTGGACCTTTAATATTATTGATGAAATTAACGGGTTTAGAGATGGTTATATTGTAATAATGGGTAATTTAGATGGTTCAAAATATAATTTTTCTTTATCTCCATATATTGGAGATGGCGATAAATATAATGCATCCTATTCAATTTCAATTAACCTAGGTACGGTGTGTGCAAGTCAAACATATATCATAGTGGAAGTACTATTATTTGATGAGCAAGGCAACAACTCTACATTTTCACTTTTGAATCCATTCCAGAGTTATGACGATTCACTTTCAAACCCATTTATCAATTATTTATACACAGAAGATCAATTTTATAACAATATGGTTGTATGTGAAGATATTGACGATTCTCCACCAGTTTTGCTAAACTTCGAATTAGTCAATGCACCTGATGAAACCAACCCAATTGACGTTGGTAGTCTTAATAGAATGTTGAATTTTAAAATCTCTGCAAATGATACTGAAAGTGGTCTCAAGCTAGATAAACAGTCCCCAATTATTTATTTATCTACATCAAATCTACGTACGCACGAATGTTACAGCGATAGATTTGTTATCCAAGACGATCTAACAGTTACATTTATTTACAAGTGTCAAATTCCATTGGGTTTCGGTTATCCACATGGTATCTTGTTTTCAATTTATAATTTTATAAATCAAGGTGGAACTTTTGGGGGATATTCAAACTATGACTTAAAACATTCCAGTTTTGTTTCAGGATTGGCAAAAGAAAGCATTGTTTATTCTTTAAACCATCCTATTATTTCGGGTGGAAGCAGAGTTAGCGCTGATGGGGGTGATTTATGGATATATGGTAGGGGTTTTGCAAATGTTTCCTCAGTTTATTTAAGGGTTGAGCCTATATTGAATAAAAATAGACAACTTAGAGCTCCTTGGTTAATACCTCTAGCAATTAAAAAAAATTTATTTAGTGCATTACACATATCGGGTATACCAAAAGGAACTGATAAGTTTAATTTAGTCTTTGACTACTTAGACATTAAAGAATATCAAGATCCATTTGTTTTTATTCCATCTGAAAAGGTTGTAGTATTTCAAGAAGACTTACCAGTTAATCCTAATCAAGAGTGTTTGGGTACCCCTCAATGTGGTGGATCATCTAGAGGATATTGTTCTAATACTGGTTGCATATGCTATTCTCCATATGTTGGTAAAGAATGTTTAGATACAGTTATTATTATACCAGAGTCTCCTTTGTCATCAAATAGAACTGATCCAATTACTCAATTAAAAACAGACTTATTCAAATCCCTTATTTCATTAGTATCAATTAGAGAAATAGATATTTATGATAAAGTAGTTTTTGAACATAAATTCGAAAAATGGACACTAAATCAATTATCAAATGATACCAACGATTACCAAACTACTGTTGGTAAATCTACATTGGTCAAAGTAAGATTACAATGGTTTAGTAAAGAAACCATCATTAAATTTGCAGATCAACAAATCAATATGAATCCATCAAGTGTTAAGTATAGTATCGAAATAGTAGATTATCCATTTGCATCCAAGTTAAACTATTTAGAGTTAGTAATAAAAGCATCTTTAGAAACTTTAGACTCAACATGTTCAGCTCAAGAATTTGGATACACATCAGGTGACAATATGGAGTACATGAAGATCCAAATAGATGATCATTCATTATATGGTAGATTTATAAGAAGAGGTATTTTTGATGAGTTAAAACAAGTCAAAGCAATAACAAATAGAATAATTCCAGATAACAGTATAAGCAATAGTAATTCATTTTCATCAACTTTAATAGGAATTAAAATGGCATACTTTTCTAAAAGAGCTATAATCGACCCCGATTTTTCTGTATTACTTGACTCGAACAGAGTAGATAAAAAATCCAATTCTATATGTTCTAACAAAGGTTCAAATAAATTAAGTGGTTCAAAAATCGCTGGTATTGTAATTGGCTGTGTTGCTTTTGTAGCTATAGTCATAGTTTGTATCATTTATAACCATCAACGTAAAAAGAAACAAAAAAAATTTGTTGCCAATATGCAACAAAAATTAAAACAAATAAATTAAAAAAAATTAAGATTACTATGATTTTAAAAAAAAATTTTATGGTTTTAATATTTTTAAACTTTAAATGTATCAATCAATGAAAAAGATAATAAAATGAAACTATCTTTAGAAAAAAGATTATTGTAAGACTCAATGAGGGGTGGAAATAGTCAAGAAATTGCTGATTTGTTTTTAGCAAAGAGAATTTTGAAAAGATATTGAAGGTAATAATTGTTGGAATAATTTTAGTTATCCAGATCAAAGCTAATCAAAAGTGTTTTATTAATTTTAAAGTCAATACTAACATTTTGTACATCTTTATGTTTTTGTTAATCTATTTTTATTAATCTTAAAATTCATGAATTTTTATATTATTTTGAAGTAATTTTGGTTTAACATATCAAATTGATTATGTAATGAATAGTTTATCTTTAGGGTGATTATATTTAATCACGTCAACATGATGTCATACCAGCCACGTCAACATTATAGCCACGTCAATATTAACCACCTCAGTATATAAGCAAAAAAGTATTTAAACTCAAAAGAATATAATTTTATAGTCAGTTATTTTAGAGTCGTTTTAGAGTTAAGTTTAGAGTTGTTATAGAGATAATTTTATAGATAGTTTTATAGATATATATAAGTAATTAAGATAATAAATAAATAAAGTATATTTAGTGTTATTCGCATTCTCATAATTGTTTTAAGTGTTTTTAAGTAATTTAAGTGTTTTAGTGTTTATTATTTAGTTAGTGTTAATATATTTTGTTGGGTCTCCATAAGTGTTTATTTTAGAGTTTATTATATTTTCATCAAGTATTTTAGTTGTGTAACTTAGTCATAATCATATACCTTTTCATTACAATTAATTTTATACAAGCAAGGGTAGGAAAGCCTGGTTAAATCCGTGTGACTTAAGATCTCATCCTGTCGGTTCGCGAGTTCGAATCTCGCCTCTTGCAATAGATTTTTTAGAGTTTATCTTCCAAATGATCGTAATTGGATTAATCGATATATGTAATGTAAATGAACATTAAAGTATAAATAATTAATAAACAATAAAAATAAAGATAATAAATTATATGATTTTTAAGTTTATGAGAAAATTGAATAAAACGAAAAATTCGAAAATTTTATTTTATTTTATTTTTTTATTTTTTTATTTTTAAAATTAAATTATTTTTAATTATTAAAATTATTAATTATTATAATTGTTTGATTAAATGACTATTTAAGTTATAATTAATTAATTAAGTGAATTTTGATGATAATACATTACATATAATTAGAAACTATCAATTAAAATTTAAATTCACTTTTTTGTAGGAGTCATACGATCACCACTTATCTTTATTACCTGTTGAGCTTGGTTTGACTTTACTAGATTTAATGCTGGGCTACAGTAGTAAATTGGGTTGGCTGGGTCCATTTGAATAAGCTTGATTAATAAGTCTAATATTGATGGGTACTTGATCGTTTATATCTTTTAAGAGGATGGAAAGATTGTTGTAGGCCTCTACATTAGTGCTATCAATTTCAATAGCCTTGCAATATAACATCTTTTTTGAGAATGGTCTTCCGTCCAAAAGATGAACCACTTCGTTGGGGGATGGCATTAGATTAGCTAAATTGTTGTATGAATATGACACGTTCTTGGATGCTGCATTGACATCGATGTCCTTTAAATATAATTCTCTTTTCTTCTAATCTCTTCCATTTACGTGTGCAGTCTCGCTTGGATGCATTGCATTGGCTAAATTATCGTAGGATGGCGAATTGTCTTTGTTTAACTCGATTGATTTTAAATATAATTCTCTTTTTATCTTTTTTAACCATTTAATAAATCTATTGTTGGAATACCCTCCATATATTGATACGCTAAATTATTATGGGTTTGAAATATCTGCTCTATTTTCGTTATTAATTTCAAGATCGTATGATAAAATGTGTGTTTGTTTGTGAAAGTGTAAAGTCATTTATATCATGACAATTAAAGTCTCCCTATAATATCTATCTTATTTTCTGGATTATCGTTGTTACAGTTTTTGTTGTAGTGATCGTTGATGTTAACTGTAAATAATTTACGTTCTTCTGGTTTTGCAAGGGCGTATATTGCTAGAATTCTGGTGCTAGAATAGGTGGTGATGATATCTGCAATGATGGCTCGGCCAGGAATTGTGAAAGTTTCTTTGGGTTGTATTGTTTTGATGTTATGGTTTAGTATGCCAATTCCGTTTCCTCTTTGAGTAACACTTATTAAAGATCCTGGGTAAGAGTTTAAAACATGTTTCTGGTAAGAGTTAAGTTAATGCCAAACAAAATCTTCACAATATTAGCTTCACCAACTTCTAAAAATAAAACCGATATAACAAATACCACCACAAAAAGTAAAATACTATCTCTTACAGTAATAATACTAATTTTATTATTAAGAAAGATTTCTTTAAAAAAAAGCAAAATAAAAAATTATTAAAAAATTTAATTTTTTTTTTTTTTATTTTTTTATTTTTTTATTTTTTTGGATATTTTAAAAAAAAAAAACAAAAATATATTAAAATAAAGACTTCCCAAAAAAATAATGGTTTCAATATCAACATAGAAGAATTAAATTCACATAAACTTTCACCAAATGATTTCCCAGTGCAATTTTATGATCTCTGTTTAAAGTTCATATAAAAATTCAAAAAGACCATAGTTTTGTAAATATTTTAGAATCAATTAAAGATCAATTAGAATCATCAGAACAACCATTAAAAAACAATCATCTTTTAATTTAAATAATAATACTGGTAATAATAATAATAATAATAATAATAATAATAATAATAATAATAATAATAATAATAATAATAATAATAATTCTTTTATAGATATAGAAAAATTAGTAATAATAGTTATATGACAAAAATAAGCAGTAGAGGTAATTTATTGTCAACAAGTAGCGCTCAGCAACCATAACCATTACAAAAATCGCAGTCAATCAACAACAACAATTACAGCAAAAATCAAAAATTGTTAGAAATGTCATTCCAATATAGTCATATCATGCTTCAAAAGATAATGTTGATCCAAAGAGGTAGATAGTTCGTCAAACATGTTTTATTATAACCTTTAAATAAAAATAACAAACAATATTATTTGTTTTTATTATCAGATTTTTGTTTATTAACTAAACCAATTAAATCAAAATCAAACAGTGAATCAAAGCATAATCATCACTATTATCACTATAATAGAGAATTCAGTTTAACCACATCAAATAATAACCTCAGAAACTATAGGAATAAGAGTAATAATAATAATAAAGAAGATTTGGCAAATAGTATAAATACAGGTTTAACTACTTAAACCGCAACAAATAAAGAAGCATTGGTGAATAAAAAGCATTATTATAATAAGAAAATTTTAAGTTTACACTATGTTTTTATGAAAATTAATCTAGATTTGCCAAACAGTGTATTATTCATACCAAACAAGGTGTATAAATGGAGTCTACCAGTGAAGAAAAGGCTAGTGATTGAGTAAATGACTTTGGAAGAACCACAATTCTTATTTATGGTGCTTCATATCAAGATGAAATGAATCAAATACATCATATTAATAATCAAACATTACCATCAGGAGAGACGACCAGTATTAATAGTGGTGGTATTTCTTGCAATAATAATTCACCATTTACTCCATTTAAATCAGTATTATCATCACTATCAATAAATTATACACCATTAAATAATGAAAATAATGAAAATCAATAAATAAATCAAGATACCAACAGCTCCTGCTGATAAGAAAAAGAAAAGAAATAGTTTTTCAAGATTAAGCATTACATTTGGGGAAAATAAAAAAAATAAAGAAAAAAGTTACAAAAAATAATAAAATATTTTTATTATCAAATTTAAATTATTATTTTGATCAAAGATAGATTTTTATTGAATCGTTTTTAAAATACTATTTATATTATTATATATATATGTCTATGAATGATGAATTATTTACATTATAATCAAGGTTATTGATTATTGATATTATTATTATTATTTATTATTATTATTATTTATTATTATTATTATTATTTATATTATTATTATTTATATTATAATCTTTTTTATTTTCTTTATCTTTATTATCATTAATATTATTTATATTTATATTATAATGTTTTGAAACTGAAAAATTAAGAACTAAAATTAAATATTAGTATTCATTTAAATAAATATAATAGTATTTATAAATATTAACTTTATAATTACCTTTAAAGTACATATGGATGATGAATGGCCTGAAAAAAAAGAATAAAGTAAACCCCAATGAATGATGAGAGACTTGAAAAAACCCTCAATGTTTGAAAAATGACATGAAAACCCACAATTAAAGAGAATAAACCAAACCAAAATGTATGATGAACAATTTGAAAAAACCCCAGCGTTTGATGAATTACTTAAAAAAACCACAATGTATGACGAACGATTTGAAAACCCGAAATGTTTGATAAATGACTTGAAAACCCACAATTAAGAGAATAAACAAAACCACAATGTATGATGAACGATTTGAAAAAATCCAATGTTTGATGAATACCTTGAAAACTCACAATTAAAATGAATATGCTGAGCCCCAATGAATGATGAGTGACTTGAAAACCCCAATTAAAAATAATAAATTGAACCCCCAATGATTGAATGTCTCGAAAACCCCGATTAAAAATATATACTGAACCCCAAATGTTTGATGAATGACTTGAAAACCACAATTAAAATGAATATGCTGAACCCTAATGAACGATGAGTGACCTGGAAAAACCCAATTTTTGATGAATGAATTGAAAACCACAATTAAAAATAATATACACTAAACCTCGATTAAATAGAATATATGGAACGCACAAAGTATGGTTAATGACTTGAAATAACGTATTGAAACTGAAAAAGAAAGAGTTAAATTAAACTAAATAATTATTAAAATTTGATATTAGTTTCTTTTATATTCAAATTTAATAATAATTATGTAAATATTAACATTATAGTTACCTTAAAATTATGAATACCGAATGTAGACTTATAATAGAACGTGTTGAGCTTGAAAGAAAAAGAATTAAACTAAATATGAATTGAATATTAGTACCTTTTATATTTAAATTTAAAATATATTTAAATATTAACACTATAGTTACCCTTAATAATTGACATTAAAAAAAGGACCTGATTATTCTGAAAGAGATAATAATTATTGTGTGGCATTAAATAGAGAACATGTTTATACCGAAAGAGAAAGAATTATAACTATATAATTAAATTAAATATTAGTTTCTTTTATATTTTTATATTTAAATATAATAATTATGTAAATATTAACAGTATAGTTACCCTTAATTATATAAATGCCCTAATACTGGCATAATGGAAAGAACCTGAATACCGAAAGAGAAAGAACCTAATTACCGAAAGGGTGAGAGTTATTATTATACTGACATTAAATAGAGAACATGGATATACTGAAAGAAAGAATTATAATTACTATTTAAGAATTAAAATTAAATATTAGTTTCTTTCATATTAAAATTTAATAATATTTTAGTAGAATATATTTACAATAAAAGAACTTCTTTCTGGAGCTTTGAGAACTTCTTGAACGTTTTTTTGTAGGTTTGAAGAATAATGCGATGAATAGTTTAATCTAATAATGTTGATAAGGATGAAATTGTTTGTCCAATGATGATGATTTTCAGTTTTTACCATATTTGATTTCGTTATTAGTCCGCATCCATATGGTAATTATAGATCTATGTACATGAATTTATAGAATTGGTGGCCAGCAAATTCTAGACCCATATCAATGAAATCTAATAATTCCCATTTGGAACGGTAACCGAAATCTAATCGATATTCATACGGTCAAAATATTCCATCTCATTATTGGAATCGTTGGAATTTAAATCATCATCGTTATTTAAAACTGGTGGACCGTTATTATTATTTTGATTTTGATTATTATTTTGATTATTATCTTGATTTTCATCTTCACCATCGACTTGGTTAACTCTCTACAATTAAATAATAAATTAAATTAATATATGTTTTATTTATTATGTATAAATATGAATGTATGAATTACTTACTCTTATTAAATAAAATCGTTCTCTACAAAATGGACAGGTGTTATCTTGATAAGACCATTCCAAAATACAACCGTAGCAGAAATTATGACTACAATCAATAGTAGCAAGATTAATGGCTTCTATTTTATCCATACAAATTATGCAATCATATTCATTTTCTCTACGTTCTCTTTCTTCTTGTTCTCTTTGTTCTTGCTCTCTTTGTTCTTGCTCTCTTTGTTCTTGCTCTCTTTGTTGTCTTTCTTGTTCTTCCCTTTCTCTTTGTTCTCTTTGTTGTTGTTCTATTTGTTGTTGTCTTTCTTGTTCTTCCCTTTCTCTTTGTTCTCTTTCTATTCTTTCTCTTTCTCTACGTATCCATTCTTCTCTTTGTTGTTGAGCTCTTTCTAATCTTCTTCTTGTTAGATATTGGATACGCTCTCTATCTTCTCTTTGTTTTTTTTCTCTTTCTTCTTTTTCTTTTTGTTCTCTTTCCTTTTGTTCTCTTTCCTCTTGTTCTCTTTCGAGTCTTATTCTTTCTTGAGCCTCTATACGTTCTCTTTCTAGTTTCTCTCTTTGTAAAGTTTCAATACGCTCTTTTTCTAGTTGTTCCATTTGTTCTTTTTCTTGTTGTTCCTTTATTTTTTTTTCCATACGTTCTTTTTCCCATTCTATTTCCCAAGGCATTGGTCTTCTTACATCACAAAGACGGAGGTCTGGATTGAGGCCTTTGGAATGATCTATTGGTATGTATGGAAATGGATCTTGTGGTTTTGATGGTTCCTTTGGGGGGCTGAGTCTTTCAAGAGGGTAGTTTGATAACATCTCTTGAGCTAATGAGGAACGACCATACATATCTTCTGGTGATGGGAAAAAGTCTTCTGATTGGGAACAACAATGGGTTTTTTTGAGGGAGGATGAATAAATGAATGGGGATCCTTTATTCATATTTTTTTCAGTTGGTGATTGATCAATTGGTGTGGCTTGGTTAATTTGGTGGTTTTCGATGTGGGTTTGTTGTGGGCTTGAATATGTGGCTTGATTAGTTGTGTGGTTGTTGGTGTGGGTTTGGCTGTTGGTGTGGGTGTGGTTGTGGGTTTCTTGTGGGGTGGAACGGAAAATAAATTTTAAAAATATTAATGACCAAATAAAAATTGCAAATAATAATGTATCTAACATTTTTTTTATTTAAAGAGTGAATATAAAAAAAATGAAGAGTTTTATGGAATGTGATATATAATTGCTATTATTTAAAAATTTTTTTTAAGTTTTATATACAAAGAAATATAGTGTGTGTGAAATTATAAAAAAAAAAAATTTTAATTTTAATTTTAATTTTAAAGAATTTTTTTTTTTTTAATTTTTTAAATTTAAAAACAAATAAAAAAAATTATAAAAAAATTATAAAAAATAAAAATTAATTATAAAAACACAATATTAAATTAGTATTTATTAATGCCTTTTTAATTTGAGTTGTTTTTGAAATTTCTATGTTAATTATTACTTTAAATAATGATAGATCATTGAGTAAATATGAAAATTTCTAATTTAGTTACATACTTTTTATAGGTTTGAAGATCTTTCATTATTTTAATTAATTAATTGATTATACTTTTTTGAGTTTAGAGATTAAAATTAAATTTACTAGTTTTTAAATCATTATTTGAAGTAAAAAATTTAATTTAAAAAAAAATTTAATTTAAAAAAAAAAAAATGAAATATATATCCTGTTTTATATATCATTGCAATGTGTCATATCCATTTACATATTTTATAATAATAATAATATTATGAAGTTCAACCCCCATTGTGTGTGGTTTTATTTTTTTATTTTTTTATTTTTTATTTATTGTTAACTATTTTTATTTACTGAGTGACCTTTTTATCCTGATCGGTATTACATTGCCAAAATCTAATTGTTTTCTTTTACTATTGAATGATAATTTGCCAGATTGATTATAGTTGGTTCTGCTTAACCAAAGAAGTTCAAACATTTTGGTTAATTTGCTTCTATGCTTCCATTCTCCAGATACGACGGCAAATGTATAAAATGGTAAAAACTTCCAACTTCAACTACGTAGAGTACTGATTGCATCTGGTCTATAAGGAACATTGTTTTTTAAAACTACTGTCATTTAACGGATTCATATCGATTTGTATATTTGGTGCAGCACATGCACAGTCCCAGAAACTAAGAGCATTATATTGTTTAAGTAATTCGGTAATTGCAATTGTATCTTCTAAAATACCAGAAACATTTGAATTTTAACATTGTAATTTTGTAATAATCTTTAATAACTGAAATAGTCCTCTTATCCCATGAATATCTACTAATATTTGGTTTTAAATATACCATCTTACTGATCAAAAAAATCGAGATATTATTTAAAAGACATGTTTAAAGCAGCTAAAAACCTAAAGATTCCTTCTCAAACCTAAAAGCTTCCCAATATCTTCCCAATATATAAAGATTATTTAAAAAAGGTGAATACGAAATTTAAAATTCTATCATAATAATAATATTTTGGTTTCTCTCTTCTGAACTATGCTGTTGTTGTTGTTGAGTATTAATAGTATCTAATGTTTTGAGATGAGTTATAAAAGCAAAACAGATTTTTATGTTCTCAAAATATGGAGCTGCTTTGGTGATTGTTGAAAAAGTAATCTATTATTCCAGTTGATTGAATAATTTCAATATGATCATTTACATGAGCAGGGTAGGGCGCGCTAATACCTTCAAACATTGAGGAATAATTAAAAATCTTTGAAATCGTAATTGCATACTTTATAATCTTTATTCTTTCTTGATGACTCTTCATAAATCAATAGTACCTTTTGATTCAGCAACTCTTAAATGATATTCAGAAGGTAATGAAAAACTTTTGTAGTAACTATTGCTCCCCAAAGAATCTTATGAAATTGTATAACATTATCAGTTTGAAATTCAAACTGTTTTGAAGTTGCATTGTTTCTCCATTTTGAAAAAAAAATATTTTATTATTCCTATTATTATTACCATTATTGTGTTGTTATTTATATTATAGTACATTCAATAAATGATAAATTTAATAAAAAAAAAAAAAAAAAAACTTAAAAAATTCAAAATTAATTTTTTTATTTTTTATTTTTTTTTTTTTCTAAATAATTTTTGCACCACCATAAACATTATTTTATTATAAACAACTAAATTTATATAATAAAAATTAAATTTTTTTTTTTTTATTATAATGTGCTTTATTTACACACCATTCGAGAATTACAGGTCTATATGAACAAATTAAAAGCTCTCCAAAGGTATTTATAAATAATATTTTATAAAAAAATAAAAATCTTATTCAAATATTAATTTTATTATTATATCAATTTTTTAATTTAATTTAATTTGTTATTTTATTTGTTATACACTAGAAATAATTTATTTATATTTATATTTTTTTCTTTATAAAACAACCTCAATATAATAATTAAATAAATGGAACATTTATTCTTATGTAAATCGAATAATTATTAATTTAAATTCAGTTGTATATATCATAGAATCATAAAAAATCAATTAATTAATTTTTTTTTTTTTTTTTTAAAAATCATTTTTTAAAATGAAAAAGTTTGTATAATGTTTTGGATATCATTTTAAAGAAAATTTTATAAAAAATCGAAATCAAATAAAAAAAATGATCAATAATCAGTATAAAAAAAAGATATAGGCTAAATTATTATTTTATAATTATTTTTTTTAATTTTTTCTTTATATTATAAAAAAATTAGAATTTTCAAAACAGTTCTTTCTAGTTTATAAAAATTTTTTTGTATTTATTTTTTGTATTTTAATTTTTTTAATTTTTAAATTTCATTATTTTTATTTTTTTTTCTTTATTAATTTATCTGCATACAAATAATTTACTATAAAAATCAATACAACATTTAATTTTAATAATATATTTATTTATTTATTAATCATATTTAAATATAAAATGTTTTATATAAAAAGAGGATTACAGTATTTTGTAAATATAATTACAACCATCAATAACAATATCAATAACAATAACAATAACAATAACAATAACAATAACAATAACAATACAATAACGATGGTTCATTCGGTAACAATACCCACCCACAACAATCTACACCAGTCCATTATAATTTTGATGGTTATATTGATCAACAAACCCAACAACAACAACAACCACATCAACAACAATATTCACCAAACCCACACCCACAACACACTCCAACTACCAACTACAATTCTGATGATGAAAAGGATCAAAAAAACCAACAACAACAACAACAACAACAACAACATCAACACCAAAATCAACAACAAACAATAATAGCTATGGACACAAAAGATGAAATTGAAAGAAGAGTAATGCTAAAGGTCCATGAGGCTTGGGATGAATTTGATGAAATTGCTGAAAGAAAAAATAAAACTGATTATAAAGGCCCAACTCTTTTATTGACCAATTACAGCGAAAGTGAACAAATTAAAAATCTTAAAAGAGAAAAAGAAGAAAAGAGACTTAAAGAAAAGCAAAAGAAAAGACAAAAAGAAAAAGAAAAGAGAAGAAAAGAAAAGGAAAGGGCAAGACAAAAAGAAAATAGAAAAAAAAGAAAAGAACATGATAGAGACAGATATGAAGAAGTTAAACACCAAAAAAAGAAAATTAAAATTTCACCAAATGATGATTCGATGATGGATGAAGAAAGAGAAAGAGATAGAAAAAAACAAAATGATAATGGCGACTTTGACCATTCTAATAAAACTTCAGTATCGCCACCCGCTCTTTCAATATATCGACCTGGAGATCCAATTGAAACAGATGAAAACTTCTTGGCCTTAGTTGCTAAAAATATGAAACTCTTTGAATTTCCCCAAAAAAACCAATCCACTGAAAATGAAATATACAACGTAGAGAAAATTCTTTCAATGCGTATACGTGGAGGTATAAAAGAATATCTAATCAAATGGGAAGGATATGATGTCAAAGAGGCAACCTGGGAAGCCGAAAGTGATTGCTATTGTGCAGATTTGATTGAAGAATATGAAGAAAGTCAAGGATCAAAAAAATAAAAGAAATAATACAATTGAATAAATTAAAGAATAAATTATTGAATACAGTTTCATAAATGTAAAATAAAGAACTCAAACCAATTAATGGACCATGCAAGTAAAAAACCACCACTTAGATTAACTTGTAAAGAAGATCCAATCATAGTTAAACCAATAGTATATAATTATAACTAAATTAATTATTTATGAATTTGATAAAATGGCTATTTATTAAATCAATATAATAATTTAAAGTTTTAAAAATTAATATAAATAAACAATATTTTATTTGATTATAATAAAGAAAAATAAAATATTTCTTAAATAAAATTATTTTTTTTTATTTATTTGTATATTTTTAATGTTATAGAATTTTATTTTTAAAATATAACTAATTTATTTATTTAATTTTTTGATCGTATTACTTTTTTGTTTTTAATTAACATTATATTTTGATATAATTACTTTTAATATATTTTCAATAACTGAGTGACTTATAACTATTACTTTGTGTTTATTATTACAGTATTATCATAAAAAAAAAAAAATTATAAAAAAAATAAAAAAAAAATAAATTAAATGTTTTTATTTATTAAATATTATAAACGTTTATCTTTTTTATATTTATGAACCAACTTTATAATATAAAAAAAAAATATATAAAAGAACATATAAAAATTTTTTTTTTTCGTGACCCGGTCAAACAATGTTGAAAATACTGTATATTGAATAGTATAGAAATTAAAATCGATTGAAATTAAATTGTAAAAATATCACAGTAGGGGAATATTAACTGATTTAATGCTTTATTTATACCATTTACATTATATTCTGTCTTTGGTGTTGTCTGATGCTCTCTTTGTTGCTGCATATAATGGTGGTGTTCAATAGTTGATTGCTATTATTACAAAACATTCCTATTATTAAATAGTGCAATTGGGGTATAGTATTATATGATCTTTTTATGATTATTCAACAGTTACCCCAATTTTAGTCAATATCAACACGTTACCTCCATTTCAAATTTTTAAAATAATATTTATTTTTTAAAAATCAAATAATTTTTTTCAATGCACAACAAACACACACATAAATAATTTTAATAATGTAAACATAGCAATCTCAAAATTTAATACATATGGTTTAACAGAAAAGTTTAATTCAACTTTCAAGTGCCTAGATCTTATTGTAAAGAAGACAATACAAATGATCTACAACTAATTGGTATTGCTTTATTTCTCATATAGTAATTGAGATACCGATGGTAAAGGCAAAACCTGAGCTATCACTAAAATCATCACTAAAACTGTCAATAATACATCAGAAATCAATGCTCTCAAAGCTGGAGTCGAAAAGTTCTCCAAGGTGGTCAATGTCAAGATGATCATAAGAGATTGTTAATTAATTTAGCTTCATTTATAGGTGGAGTCAATGCATTGGGTGTATTATCTCAACAAGACGATGCCGATAGTTTTCTGTAGTAGATTTATCTTTACCAGGTAATTGCTCTCCTCTTCAAGTGGGTGTATTACCAGAATCCCTCACTTCATTAGCCTTAGGTTATGGTTTTAATCAAAATCTAGACCCAAATACTATTCCACAATCAGTTACCCAATTAAAACTAAAAAGAATTTATTCACAACCAATACCAGACTCTTTAACAAACAGGATAAAAATAACAAGATAAACATAAAAATAAATTGTACATTAATAATTTTGTTTAAATTTTTTTACATTATCAGGAGTAAAGTAAAAAATGATCGACTAATAAAAAAGAATTAAAATAAAATTTAAAATAAATATTAGAGATAAATTTAAAATAAAAAAAATAATAAAATTAAAAAAAAATAAATTTATTTTATAAATAAATAATAATAACTTTTTTTTTTTATTTTTTTTCGTTTCGTTTATGTACATAAGAAGTTCCTTTAAGTAATTTAAGAATTAAATGCGCCACCACGAAAGTTGAAGTATAAAAGCTAAAATTGAAAAACAATCTAGACTCTATTTAGACAACCCCGAGTGTGTGATGGCAATTTAATTTCTTTTAATCTTATAATTTTATGATCTTCTCTTTTTAATCAAATGGAAGCTATAGTCGTAAAAGCAATCGACATGTTTGATTAAACCATGGATTAATTCGTAGCCTCTATCTGTATCATATACTATCTTTTTTGCTTCACTTTTAAATTTGATCAATTGCTCTGTGAAGCCAAGATCTTGATCATATATGATTTTGTTTGGATCGTAATTTTCATCGGTGTCAAAATGAATATGATCATGTTCTTTAATGTTTTCTTTTTGGAACTCTTCTTGAATAATTTTATTTTTTTTAGTATTTTTGTTATTGTTATTGTTATTGTTATTATTATTGCTACTATTTTTTTTTCTAATTATTGATCTAATAAAAATGGTAACTACATCTTTACCAATAATTATAAATAATCTAATAAGGTCTTCTATTAGAATACCTAAACAAACAATTGAAACTAATAATAAACCAATCATTATTGAATAGATTGAATAATAAATTAAATAAAAAATGAATTTGATAGGTGAGAATACTATATTTAAAAACATGGAAAAAACTAAAAAAGCTATTAATTCTACTATTTTTTTATTCATTTTGATTATTATTTAAATCTAATGTAGTTATATTATAATTTAAAAAAAATTTTATTATTATTTTTGAAGTTATTAATATTAAAATTTTATAAATGATTATTAAAAAAAATATTGATAATAATGAAAAAAAATAATTTATAAAAAATATAAAAAATAATTAAATTATGTGTCAGTAGGGGTAACAAAAATTTAAAAAAAATATATTTAAAAAAAATAAAAAAAAATTAAAAAAAAAAATAAAAAAACTAATAGTGAA